ATCAGTTTATTGTTAATGGTAAATTTTCATCAGAGTAACAATAAAATACAAAAAAAGAAGCTTTAAACTCTGTAATTTATGCTTAGTTTATCCTTATATGTACGTCCACACGGTGCAGGTAAACAAAAACACATCGATTTATCCACACACACACACAGGGTGAAACATTACTCTCTGTCCTGGGCTAACAGCATTAGAGAGCAATAGATGTCTGATTAAACCAGACAAATTGAATCACACAGTGTCGCTTTCATGTCTGATAACAAGTGTGACGTGAGGAAAACGCACAACAGCAGCAGAAAGAAACCAAACCACCAACGACCTCAGATCTGCTGAGGAAACACATGACTGACCGCAGAGCGTCTGTGTTATGACAAGTGCAGGGAAAGTGTGTGAGCCAAATTTCACGGCAACTCATCCAATAGACATTTCAACCCTATTCTCTCGTCACATATAGACACTCGGTCAAGACGCCTTGGCGTCACTTTTACACTTGTAGGGCTCCAAGGTCAAGTTACCAATACTAAATATGTAAAAGGTCGCAATCTGGTTAGGTTTAGGAAAACATCGTGGTTTGGGTTATCTCTTTTCATGCATGACGTCAACTACGGAGGACAGATATTTGGAAGCAATTTTGAACCATAGTACTGTGTTGAAACCACCACGTGACGGACTCCCAAAGCGTGGTTTATAATTTCATTATTCACATCAATTATTATATTATTATCTTTACATCTCTGTCATTTTGATATCCTGCATCATTCAAAATAGGTGGAGGGAAGAGAAGAGGCACCAAATCCCTCAGCAATAACAGTAAAATCTTTAAATTCTGAAAAAAAACATACTGGTGAACAAAACTATTTTTCAACTAAATAAGATGTTGGAAAAACTTTAATTTTATTGATTTATTTCTTGGACATTTTGTTCCCTGACTGAAAATACTGAGATCTGTCCACTCCGGAAGACGTTCTGCACAAAAGAGTTTATTCCGCCTTGTTTTCAGTGTTTATTTTCCACTTGAATACCTTTTTGTATTTATACCACTTGCTTTCAGTAAATGTTTTAAAAACATATCGTTTTTTTGGACCAATATTGAATCACCACAACTGCAGTCGACACATTTAGAAATAAAATATATTGGGGGAAAATTTGCTTATAGGCACTTGTTTAAAAGGAAAAACAAAACTTCTTTGTGATTAAAAAACTCATACATGAAACGGCTAAAATAACTGTTACTTAACTGACTTAACATACGTAAGATAAGTATCGTAACTTATGTAACATAACTAAAAAGAATCAATGTTGACTTTTTGTTTCACACAGGGAAAGTCCGATGTGTTGCCCAGACAGGGGACCAGACACTAAAGGACGTGACAAAGTGCAAAAACATCAAGCTCATTGTGGAGGTAACATTCACCAGGTGTTGGGATTCATCCTCTGGGGAACAACTGTACAAAATTTAATGACAGTCCCACTGATGGCTGTTTCAGTGCCTTAAATCATTTCATTACATGCAGCTGAAACACACAGAATAAACCTGCGTTCTTGAATAGCAGTTCAGCTGTGAAACGTGTTCAGATGTACAGTTTGAGTCCCGCAGCTCTGACAGCTGCTGCTTTCTGTTCAGACTCTGTTCTCTTTATTTCTGTGGAAACGCTGCTGTGGTGCTCCATTATAGAGATGTGTTTAAGTGTGTCAGCGTGTGTGTGTGTTATCTGCAGCTCTTATCTGCTGTCTGCTCCCCAGCTGGCTTACACCTGTCAGAGCCACACAAGGAGGCAGACACAGACTGATGGTCTGCCTCTGTGTGTGTGTGTGTGTGTGTGTGTGTGTGTGTGTGTGTGTGTGTGTGTGTGTGTGTGTGTGTGTGTGTGCGTGTGGTAAAAGCTGCAGACAGGGAGAAAGTGCCAGAGTGAGTGTGGTGACGGGGTTAAGGTGGAAGTGCAGGTTTTCATCCAGATGTTCTGAAAGTTCTCAATAAAACTAACATCTGTCAGTTTGTTTATCTTTATTTGTTTTGTGAGGAAGTTCTGATAAATTATTGAATTTCATTGCTCTTAATCAACAACATTCTTAAGCACAATTTAAACTTCTGCGTTGAATCTACACAGCAGCCTGACGCACACCTCCCCAAATATTTAAATACACGTCGCGGCAACGCGGAAGAACTGCGATTGGTCGGTTTGGTAGCATCGCATTTCCTCCTACAAGTCCACAGGAAGTAGTTTGTGCTTTGAAAGCAATTTCACTAGCAGCAAAACCAACGGATGTAACACGGTGGATCAGCCGATCAGCATGTGACCCATTCAGACATTAGAATTTGAAAAGTCTTCAAGAGCCGCTGGCAGAAGTCAACACAGTGGATGTTATAACGCTACCAACCAACTAGCATTTTGGCGGTGTAATTGCAGAACGATGCAGACACCAACACACAAGTATAAATGTGGCTACGTGCACAGCTTACGCCGTAGGTTACGCCATAGAAGTATAAATCAGGCTTAACTCCCAACATCTGACGATATGGACACTTGGTCAAGACCCCTTGTGTCACTTTTTAACACTCTGGTTACCCTTAAGCGTCGTTCTTGCACGTGTAGGGCTCTGCGGTCAAGTAAGCAACAATAAAAACGCAATGTCCAGTTAGACTTTCAAAATAAAACTAGTGGTTAAAGTTGCAATTTGGTGAGGTTTAGGAAAACATCATGGTTTGGATTAAATGTGTCACATGTGACTTAACTGACATGAGTTAAGTAACGTTACTTTCATAACTCACGTAACGCATCTAAAAACAATTAATGTTGACTTGTTGTTTCACACGGTAAACACAAATAAGGCTTGGGAGTCAGAACAGGTTGCCTTAAAAGTTGTGTAATTCGTCTCTTGTGTTCACATACTGTACTTTTGGAGACTGAACACTTTTCACTGTTAAACTCTGTTACTTAGCTGTTAAATTTATAATTCTTGACCTTGGAGGAAGATGCTGAGGAAGACCTGATACACTCGAAAGCTCCAGACTGAACTGACCTTTTGGTGTGATTATTTTGTCAGCTGCTGATTCAAAGGTCAACAATGAACTTTCACTCTCAGTTTTAAAGACAACATGGACAAGCCGTCCTTAAAGTGCTCCTAAAAAAGCATGGATGTTTCCGTTATAAGCTGGCAAACTCCATCTGCTGAGGAAGATCACGTGATATCAGCAAAACGCTCAGGAGCAGCTACTGAATAAACCTCGTGGAGACATTATTTCGTCAACCAAAAACAAACACAAGTCTTCATTTTCAGTGTTGTGATGATCAGAGCTCACCAAATGATAACAGCAGGAGGGAAGATTTGATGTGAGATTCAAATCATCTACTGGAAGACACATTAATAAATGGAATAAATAAAAGTAAAAAGCCTTTTAATAACCCTGTTGTGAATAAACTGAAATGATTAATTTATTCAGGACAAAATGATGAAGTGGAATTATTAATTGGCACATTTGATAATCATGAAAAGGCTAATTTAATAAGCTCACAAGTAGTTTACAATACAAATCGAATGATTAAAAGACATCCATCATTTTCAGTGATGCGACTTATATCAGAAATATAACGTAGGGAAACAATGGAAATGCTCAAGTAAAGTACAAGTAACTCAAATGTGTACTGAAAGAAACTTTTATTGCTATTTTTCATGAACCTAGACATTTTTCTGGAACAGAAGTTCCCATTTATAGCCCCTCCTACAGAGCTCTGATTGGTTTATTGTTTCTCCAGTCAGTTTAAATGGCTGTTAATGAGCAGCAACACCAGACCGGTTTCAAACAGCCATATATCAGTGTTTCAGAGAAGCTGAAAGAGAACCGGGGAGAAAGAGAAGAAAGAGCAGAACTGCAGGAATGTCTTTCACATGCAGGAATGTTTTATGTGTGTTGACCCGCAGGTGACCTCTGACCTCTGATAAGCCAGCCTGTTGTCATTCCCAGGTCATCAAATGTTCATTTTACAGTTTCCTACATTTACCAGAATGCCTTGTAACAGCTTCCTTATAAGAGGAAGCATTTAGATTCTCATGTTTTTTTTACTTGAGCGTAGAAACAGTTGTTAAATGTGATAATTCAGATCAGGTCAATCACTTAAACCAAACCTGTCCTGCTGCTGCAATGCATTCTGGTCAGTTTTTTATAATCAACTAACACATATAGCATTTTTACAGTGTGGCATTACTATTTTCACTTCAGTAAAAATATTTAAATACTTCTTCCACCGGTGCACTTAGACTGGTGTTTAAATGAATGTTAGAGATTATCTTAATTTCCTGGCTCTTGCTTTTAATTGTATGAAATGACATTCTTATTTATTTGTTTGATGAGCTTTCTCCAAAGTGCTGTGGTGCAGGAAGTGAAAACTTCTGTAGTTTGACATCAGAAATGTCTGAATTTGACGTCATCGGTGCAAAAATACCTTCACACGCAGCTGCTTTCAGGACACAGAGGTCAAGTCCTCCGCAATGTCTCTGGGAAATTTGGAAATTTAATACCCTTGAGGATTTCACCGTGCAACATTCAGATGCTTAACTTAAGTTAAAGTATCACTGCCGCACTGAAAATATACTCTGTTACAAGTGAAAGTCCTGCATTGAAAATATACATGAGCATTATAAGTAAAATACACTTAAAGTTTAAAATGTCAAAGTAGCATTGTTCTGGTTTAGTTAGCTGAGGCAAAGATAATCTAAGTATTTTAACCTAGTTTTGTTTAGTTGAAACAAAATTATTATTATTATAATAACCTCATCACATGTTTTAGATGTAAATTCTTAATGTTACGTAACTATAACTTTCAGAATAATGTAGTGTAGTTTGTAAATACATGGAAATAGTAGAAATACAGGATAAATACGTTCTACAAACAACATTTGAATTGATTTGGTGTTTAAATACAGCTGTTAAAGCACCTCTGGAAATATATTTGGTGTGCAGAAAACATACAAGATGGAATAAAAACTGTTTCTCAGTTTGGCTTTTATTATTTTTGGACATTTAGCAAAATACTGCAGAAACATCCAAAGCAGTATAAGAGCTAACGGTTACAAAGAAAACAAAAACAAAAATACAAAATGAAACAAAATCATGATTGCATTCAGTTATATTTCAAGAACGGCTGATAAAACTCATTGATTGCTATAATGTCACTTGAATCACGCCGTCCTCACGTCGATTTTCATATAAGTTAAAAGAAAAATTAAACAATTTGGCTACCATCATGGATAAAAGCAACACAGCGACAGATCACACAGACCACAAAGAGCAATAATTTACACAAATAATTTAATAAATACATAAATAAATAGAACACAAAAGTAGTTAGATATACTGTATAGTGGTAATACAGAAGGCTTTGTAAAAAATAATAATCATATTATACCCAGTCAGTGATAAATAAGTGATCAAAAACAATCAGATCAGTTTAAGGCAGTTTTACAGCAAGAGTTTCTAATCCAAAGGCATTACCGGCTACACTAGTGGTTACTCTTTATTCTTTTCAGGCAACAGCTACTGATCCACGGATCCACAAGCTATGTTAAAGCTAATCAGAGTGATGAGATAAGGTCTTTTCAGGCCTGTGATTTCTGGGGTTTTATCGGCTACAGGTCGTTCCCTCTCTTAGGTCTAGAAGCTAATAGCACTTGTGCAGAGATGCTAGAAAAATAAATTAACAGTCTAACGCTTTAAGTGTTTTAAATGTGATGTCAGAGATCCTTTAAGGGGCTGGGGGGGGGGGGGTTTATAGGCCTCGGGGGTTCAAACACACACCCAGAACCTGCTGATGTGTCCTTGAGCAAGGCACTGAATCCCTGCCAGCTGCAGGTGACCGCTGACCTCTGACCCCTACAAATAGGTGCATGACAGTAGGAGTTTCACTAATGTCTTATTTTACCTCAGGGACTCAAAATGGTGATGCCAGAAATAAGTCATCTTTATTCTAATGTGATTTGTGCATTTTCTTGAATTAACATCCAAAAATAGGCAAATCGCTGTAGAAATTAGAGTTAAGTGGATTCAATTCTTAAAACAACAGTTTCTAATTTGGTGATTTCCTTTTTTTTTACCCAAATAACTGAAACAAGAGAGAAAATCACTCCCATCAACAGTGCAGTCAACCAGAGTTACAGCTTCTCACCAAAGTGCCATAAATGTTTCACTTGGTTGTCTTGTTATCTGACAGTGTGACGGCAGCCTGAAGTCCCGGATCAGCAGGCGGGGCGGAGCGGCATCTGCAGCAGGATCACCTGCCGGTTCTCGGACGGGTGGCATTTGTTGATGTGTCTGGTGAGTCCCGGGGAGCTGTAAAAGATGGCGGGGCAGTATTTGCACGGGTAGACCTGTGAGGAGTGCAGCAGGCGGATGTGCCGCTCCTGGCTGCCTCTGTTGGAAAAGTTCTCCCCGCAGACCGGACACAGGTGGCAGGTGGAGGAGCTCAGGTTCAGCGGCGCCGCGCTCTGCTCGCAGGCCGGCGCCTCCTTCTCCTCCGCCGGTTTTGGGGAGCCGTGCTGAGACGCCAGGTGCTTCCGCAGGTATGCTTGGCGCTTAAACTTTTTCCCACAGTGATTACAATCATACAGCCCTTCCTCTGAGCCAGACTCGGACGGCCCGGGGCTGGGTGTGTCCCTGTCACTAGAATCCTTCACTTCATCCGGCGCCGTCTTCCCGGACGCAGCCGCCTTGTCGCTCTCCAAATTTTGCACACCGGGGGCTCCGCTCTGCGGCTTCGGTTTGTGCCACCGCCGGTGCGAGGCGAGGTTAGCGGGGCAGCTGAACACCTTGTCACACTCAGGACACCTGTACTCAACCCGGACTATCCTGGAGCACTTGTGCTGCGCCAGGGAGAACGGGTCTGCGTACGCCTCTCGGCACAGCTGGCACACGAACTCGCCCAGCGGGTTGTTGTCACCTCCGGACGGCTGCGGTCTGGAAGGCTTCTGGTCCACCGGCGCCTCTTTAATCTTGAGCCCGAGAACCGGAGATGTGGTGACATCATCCTCAAAGTGCAGTTTCCGGATAGCTTTGGTTTTCTTGGACGGTGGTTTGCTTTTGCGCTCGGTGTCGCTGGACTGCCGCTTGGTCCCGGCGGCGGGGAGCGTCCCCGTGGATGTGGCGCTGGTCCCTATGCGACTGCTGTTGCTGGAGCCAATTTTCAGGTCTACCGGGGCGAAGAGGTGGTCCAAAGCTGGTGTGGGGAAAGACTCCGCGGAAACCGGTGACCCGAGGTTGAAGCGTCTCTCGAAGTAGGAGCGGTCGTGGTCCTGGCTGACGGGGCGGGTGGGGCTGTAAAGCGCCTGGTACACCGCCTCCGGGTTTCCGAATTGCACCGGTTTAACATCCTGCTCCGGAGCCGTGGCCACCGCCCCGCAGGTGGGCGTCGGCGTCTGTGCGCGCACCGGTACGGAGGCGAGAGGCCCGGATGAGGACGGCAGCAGCGGCGGAGCATCAGCCGCTGTTTGCTCCGCTTCTTCCTCGTCAGAGCGGACCCGGTAAGATACCGGGTTGGTTTTCTTGTTCCTTTTTACTAAAAATCCTCTCGGCATGTTCGCGGTGGACGGAGAGCTGAAGGCACTTTGGACGCTGCTGCGGGGAGAAGAAATCCACTTTTAGCCGCTCGCTGACAGAAACATCTGATGCGTCTTTTTGTTGTTGTCTCCTCCTGCTACTGATCCTCTGTTCTCCCCCCGAGGTGCTTTCACCACAACATAGCTGCACTCTTTTTAAGGCGACATGATGACATTGTTCCCGTCCCCCCTTGTTGCCTCATCCCCGACCAATCAGAAGGAGCCGAGGTTCCCCGTGGATTTGGGTAGTGGGTGTGGGAGGATGGAGAGGCTGATGGAGGGGAGGAAGGGGGTGGTGGAGGGAGGATTTGCAGATTGCAAAGCAGATGTACCTGAGGGTTTTATTGTGATTCACCCCCCCTGTACACACTCTCTCTCCTCCTCCTCCTTCTAGTCTCGACCCGGGCACACGCCAGGAGCCTCCTGCTTTTACGGTCTGATGAGTTTGTATAGAAATCTACACGTGCCTCGGCTTTATGTGTCTCCTTTGGGTGGTGGGGGCTCTGATTTGTCCAAAAAGGAGACATCGGTCCACATAACGGCGTCAAGAAGAAGTGATTGGGGAAAAAAAGCAGAACTGCAGGCTGGAATTTAAGCTTCAATGAGGGAAAATGCAGCAGAACAATTTTAGAAATTTACTAAAAGTGAAATTTAGGTCAGATTGAGACAGAGAAAACAAGTGAACCTCAGTTCCAAACCTTATAATACTTAAGTGAACTGTGTTCAGGGCTATCAATAACCAATAATGGGTTCGGATTCTACAATTTAAGACATTCAAAGAATTTCCACTAAAGATCCCAAAAACAGATTCAAAAAAGCGCTTGTATGCACCAGACGATGGAGTTTAATTCGGCCAACTACATGAGACAAATAACCCAACGGCAAACAAACAAACATTACAACCACTGCAGCTCTGCAGCATGTGCGCTGGCGTGACAGTTAACTCCGGACATATGAATCCGTCATTTTACGCATACATAATTAATAGCGAGAGGAGGGTTTCCTGCTTTGCATCACAATGGCTGCGCTTGTGCAAGCTGTAGACCCGGCGTGATTGAAAAGGAAATTGCACAGTTGGAAAAAAAAAGAGGAGAAGAAGTGGGGGAACAATCTGGCCCCCAGATAGGGTACCGTCGGCGCGTGCTGTGCGTAATCAGTGCGCTTTTTCTGTGTCTCCAAATGGGGCAAATCGAGATTATCTGCGAGTTAAAACACACTAAACCCAATTCCTGCAGGTCAGATCCGACCCGCGGTCTGCCGGATATGAGTCTGTCTTTCACCGTGAGTGATGATGGGATGTCACATGTGTCGGTGCTGAACTCGAGGAGGCGTCTGCAGTGTTTAAACGTGCGCGTGCAGAAATCAGCGTGTGGATGTTAAAGATCTTTGTAAAGCTGCAGGTTTCAGATGATGCGTTGAGCTCAGGATCAGATTGATCGATTTGGCCCCATGTTTGACTGTTCGAGATGAAATACAACTAATTAAAATGCTGCCATAAGTCAATATCTCATTATAACTGACTAGAATTCACATTTTCCTTCATTTTCATCTGTTGGTGGTTTAATCTGAACTAAAAGCATTAGCTCCAAAAACCTCTATTTTAACAGGTTCATTTAGTTCATTATCAGGTCTTAAAAGTATTTTTCTTCATTTCCACCTGTTTCCAATACAAATCAACTAAACAAATATAAAGAATTTCCATGAATCAGGTCTCACTTTCCTTAAGTCTAGTGCAGCAGCCTGCTCACCCGGTCTTTTTCAAAATAAAATAAAACATTAATTTATAGAAAATCAATGAAACAAGTTGAAAGTTCTTTCAATTGTGGATGAGTTTACATTAACACATTTTCATTCGTTTGCTATAATGATCCAAACGCAATAGGCCTATATAAAAATCTGAAATGCATAATATATGATAACTGTTCAAAATCCAGCTGAAGATCATATTATGCAGCTATAACAGATAAAATACACATAAGGTAACATAATGTGATTAATAACACAAAAACTAAGCACCACATAGAGCCCCCCTGTAGAATAAAATAATAAAACCATTAAAAAAAACGTCTTTTCATTACCAATGACATGCTTAAAGCATCATTATTCATAAATAAGAACATTATAGCAATGTTATTAGAGAGTAAAATATCAGTAAGTGCAGTAAAGTTACCAATAAAGTTACTTTAAGAGTACCATAGAAACACTGTTGGTATCAGAATAATTATAGGACATTTAAAAACAGAACAAATTTTACTGATCCCAGGAGGGAAACTCTTTATATTTTATCTTGTGTGAAAACTACAAGAGATTAAAAAGTCAGCATACATGAAGAATTCTGGATAATCTGGTGATTTATAATTACAGCATTTTAAACGTGACCAATCATATATGCATCCTGTGATATCTGACTTTACATTTGGGCACCAGCAGCCTGTGCGTTTTTTAAGTCTGCGGGGTGTTGGTGTGTGCGGACATATGTTGTTGTGTGTGTGTGCGGTTATTTTCCCGACAGGCTTCAGCTCAGCCTCATTAGCATACAGCTGTAGAGTGACACCCTCCTCCTCCTCCTCCTCCTTTTCCTCCTCCTCCTCCTCTTCCAAAAAGCTTTCATCTCCAGCCGCTATAGGGGCTGATTGGTCACGCTGCTGCAGAGTCAGTTACAGTTGGCACATTATGGAGGAAATAAAACAGAAATGTCTATTTATTTGTATTAAACTATTTTACTGTACATCATATTTGAAGTTAGGGTAGGTAAATAGTTTCCACACCCCAATTAACATCTATTTAGGGACTTAATTTAAAGTTTACATTAGATTTTTTTTAATAAAGGTCTGTACGAGCTCAGGCAGAGTTGTTGAGGAAGGATTCAATGCCATCAAATTAAGGAACAACTCAAAAAGGACTTCACATATCAAAGAACCTCTCAGTGACTTTATTAACTGGAGGCCCCTTAACCTGATGTTGCTGTAACATGTTTTCAGATCTATCTAATTTTAAGTTCCCATATTTGCTTGCAATGTTTACTGAACTCATGTCATTCATATGCCATGAAAATAAGTCCCTAAAATTCGATATCATTTGTTCAAAATAACTTTCTAATTATCTAATTAGTGTCACATTTTCAATTCAAGGAATAATTCAACACTGTTCGCTCAAAGAGTTTAGAAGAAGATTGATGTCAATCTCATGTCAGCATTAAAAGAGTATTCATAAAATTCCTTTAACAGAGTTAACAGCAGTATTTGTTGTTGCTGTTATGATAAGTGTCCACAGGAGCCGTCAATTCCATGCTTCCCAAATATACACCAAAATGTAATTTAAATAAGTATTTTATTTATTAAACACTGGCTTGTAAACACTTTATTATTATTTTTTTGTGCACAACTGACAGGAACTTAACATAGTCTGAAAGTAGCAGGCTAGTTATAACTGTGAGGGCTGCTACTCGGGTCAGATAGTAAGCTACAAAAGTATGTAAATTGGTAAATAATTTAGCCTAGGCTACTAAAACAAAGTTAACAGGAACTTTCAAAAATTGTAGCAATTTATGTTAAAAATCAAAGGAACCTTCTTCTTTGGGTCTGGATCAACTTTCTGTTCTGATCTTCTGCCAATCAGGGTCAGCGTTTGTATGATGTCATCACGTAGACGTATGAAACTGGAATCATTAGAGGTTCTACTGCGTGACTATATACTTTATTCTTAACACTGGAATTAGCAGTTTGACTCCACAGATTTATCACTGCACGTCTATCACACTGTCGGACTCACGATGGACACTTAAAAAAAGAAAAATCAATATTGATGCAGAGAGATATCTTCTTTTTAATGACATATTCTCCTTCCTTGGTAAAATCTAGCGCCTAAATTGGCCACATAGGGTGTGTTATGCTAGTAGCGGCTAATGTAGCCTGCAGCATAGATGAGCAGCGGGCTTCAGAGGTCTGGTGAGCTCACTTCTTTCAAACTCTTTTATTCTTTTATTTTCAAACTTGTAGTCTTCAGCCAATGCCGACTCAAGTGACTTCACTTCAGTACATTTATCAGGCTTCACACAGCTCCCCCTGAGACACTAAAGGCTTCATACTACTTGTTTTACATAGGTAGTGTAGAAACAGGCGCTGATGTGTACAATCGGTGGAGCCTGTGAAGTTTTGACCGCTGTCGTGGTTTTTAGGAGCTGTTCCCTGATTGGTTTGTTTCGTGCACACACAAACATGCAGTAAAGAGATTCAAAGTTTCAAAGAGTTTCATGCTATTCAGCTGATCGATAGTTGGTGGTGGTTACATGCAAAAAAGTGACTTCTAACAAGTAAACAATGCAGGATTGCAAACATTTTATGAGGATAAAATACATGTGTATTAGAGCTCAGTGATTCCCACACAGATGATTTTGTGCATGTGTTTCAGTTAAACGGTTTATTATAAACTAATTTAACAGGGTTAAAAGGCTAACTTGGTGATGTCACTCATGATGTCCCAGCAGTCCGGGTAGGCGAACATGGGCAGCAGGTTGCGGTTGTAGGTCAGATATTTCACAGCGCCGCTCCTCAGAGCCTCTCGACTCTTTGTATCTTCAAATCTGTCCTGAGGGAGGACGTTTGAGTCGTCGGTGTCCTCCATCACCTTCCGCTTCGACTCATCGTCCTGCAGGGACACACAGGTGGAGGTAAAAACACACAATCTGCTTAGACACAGCAACTCTTCAAACGACAGAGAATAAGCTGCTCAAAGCTGTTTGTACTTGGTATTTTATGTATTTCTTTCTAATCGTATTCAGCACTTTCCGATTGTGTTTCTGTTCCATAGTCATACATGTTATATTTCTACATTTAAAAAAAAACCAGAAAGGTCAGACTCAGATCAAACTAAAAGTTGGGGATGGAAATGAAAGCACAAACTGTGGTTGAGGTGATCTGCTGAAGCTCCTGCTCAAAGTCGGAGAATCTGTCGTGATAAATGGCCAAACACCAGCGCTGTCTGAAGAAACTGCAGGAGACACACACATTCAACCACACTATTTTTAATCATCAGCAGGATCCTACAATAATTTTATCCCCCAAATCCCTGCTGTTAACAACCTAATCATGTCTTCAATACAGCACATTCATCTGTAGAAGCTTTTACACAGCAACAAACTCCAGATTATTACTGTTGAGAGAAGTCTAAAACTACAGTGGGACTATGTGTATTTAATACTGATACAGAACATTTGTTGTTTATACTATAAAGCAACATTTTAGTTTTACCCTGTTGAATTTCCAGCACACTTTAGACCAGTAGTTCCCAACCTGTGGCTTGTAATCCTTTAAAATAAGGCAACGTCTCCATCCCACATCACAGCTGTGGAACTGTGAGCCTTTGAACTAAAGACCGAGTTTTGCGTCTCATATTGTCTTGCATGCCTATAATCGACAGTGTGACAATGTGAAAAGTGTCGCTTGTAGTGATGAACCTGCAGAGAATTATCACCCTTCATCTAACAGCTGTTATCACTGAAGAAGCTGTGAAAAGCCGCCGTACACAAGCAGCTCAGCAGCAATCAGCAGACAGACACAGTTAGAGACTCGCTGGTGAACACAGAGCGGCATTTAGCAGCGACAGAGCCTGATATTTCCCTCAGGAGCAGGTGGAGACCAAACACAGGGCTAAAAGGAGAGTGGATATTGGATTTACATTCATCAGGTGACACAAAAACACGACTCCAAATGAATGACCATGTTGCTCTGTAACTGCTGGAGGTGGAAATGAGCAGCGGTCAGTACATTAAGTACTTACAATTTTGAGGTTGGTGTATTTTATATTATTATTCTGAATCCACAAAGTAACCAGTAACTAAAGGTATCAAATACATTTGGTGGAGTAGAAGTATAAAGAAGCAGAAAATACTCAAGAGAAGTACCTGAAAATTGTTACTTCAGTGCACTACTTGAGTAAATGTCCTCCACCACTGGTAATAATTATCTATGAATAATATATAATAATATGTCAGTAAACGCGAGTTTGTCTATTACTCTTGTACTTTTACTTCAGTAGGTCTTTGAATGCAGAACTTTAACTTGTGCTGGAGTATTTTTACATTGTGGTATTGGTATTTTTGTACAAGATGTGTACTTCTTCCACAACTGGCTATGTGCATAAATAGCCACCACGAGAGGTAACTGAGAAACTGTCTTTCTTTGTAATTTGGGTGAACAAACACACCCAGAAGCTACACTAACTGTGTGACTGAATAACCTCCAGCCGCCACACGGCCGATCAATTATTTTAACAGCTCATTATGGTCCGTCAGCCTCCACAATGACTTCACGAGTCAGCTGAGTGAGCGGCGTGACGAGGAATCAGCCTCTGCAGCGGGGAGGCTCCGGCTTTGTCTCGCCCTGGACCGGCCACAAAGACAGATTGGTGAGCTGCATAAACAGATTAGGAGGCGAAGGGGGGGGCGGGACAATAGACGTCCATATCTGGGGGTCATTTGTGTTGAAACCTCAGAAGCAGGTCACCCGCTGTTTGACAAACACACACACACACACTGCAAAGTCACACCAGTAAACACTCAGACAGGACAAAAGACACTGAAGGCCTAAATCTCTCTCGCCTGTTCAGACCACTTTCTGAAAACATTTCCTCTCTCAGACTCAAAGTGGATCATTTTTGTACAGGAGAATGTCATGAAAACAGCTATTTAAAAAAAATATATAAAAGAAACGTGACCACCTGCTGTCTGTAACATTCTGGTACCAAAATCAGACCTGAAAAACAGCAACATGTATTCTTGTACAAAGAATAAATTATACTGCTGCAGAGGCTGGACAAACTGACAGAAGCACTAAACACAATAACAGGGAAGAAAATATAAATTTGCTCAAGTTGTTTGTTGTTTTCATCATTTGATTCCCCAAACTGATCCTTTCTGCAGGTCTATTGTACTATGATGTGTATGTTTCGTGTGTTTGTTTACCTCCTGAGTTATTGACGCTAATAAAAGACTTCAGTAAAAGATGATTATCTGTCACTGTCAATCTGTGCAATGCAGGAGGTGTTTTTTATGATCTGTGTTTACTTCAGCTATAAAAGTATTGTGTTTCTTGGAATACGTTTCAACATCCTATACAGAAGAAATAAAGTATATGCAAAACACTTAAAGGATAATTCTGGTTTGCTACAACTCATTTGTCATAGTTTGTTCAATCATAACTATTAGAGACAGGTTGTAAATAAACCCCAACTAAGTCAAACTTCTTCGGAAGAGAAAATGAAGCTGTCTGATGTAAACATCAATCACAGTTTACAGACCCACTTCCTGCCTCACCTCTGACCTGCTGCACTTCCTGTAGCTGTGTGCACAGTTTCCCTGTGCAAAGTGCAAAGTGGGATTATTACCGACATTTAGATGAGACAAATATCAGTTTGACCTGAAAATAAAGTGGTTTAGATAATCTCAAACTGCTCAGCTCTGTTCCCTCCAGCAGCCTTCTGGAAGAATTCAACAGTTACAAGGATGTTTTACAGAGAAAATTCAGCAGAGGAGCAAATATACAAAAAAAAAACAGCAGTATAAAATCTCAACACAGTGCGGACATGAGAGCTGCTGCGTGGCAGGGCTCAGCACTACTTTTATCTGGTCAGTCAGGCTCGTGATAGTTTGCTTGGTCAAGCGAAAATAAGGTAACTGCAGTCTCTACCCGCTCTTAACAAACCACAAATAAAGCTATTCTTTTTTTGTCACAATGTGCAATTTGGTGATTGTTACCATGGCTCAGCATGGTGGCTAAGTTTTCGGGCTTAAAATAAGTAAGTCTTTATTTCTGTGAAGTCTAAAATGTCTTTTTGAAACCAGCCCCAGGTCTTACCAAACAACTTGTTGAGTACAGTGGGTTGTTGACAAAATGGACTGTCTAGAAATACTTAAAAATGAAAAATATCAGCAGACATTTGTGAACTAATATTCTTTCTGTCTCCCACCTGTACAGGTCGTGGACCAGCCCCTGGTGGTAGAGGTTCGACAGCTGGCCCAGCAGCTGCTGGTGTTTCCCGTACAGACTCAGGTAATTGGAGACGGGGATGGGCTTCAGGGAGAAACAGGTGAGCGTCTCCACCAGCTCGTTGCAGTCGAGATGTAAACCGAAGTAGTTCCCCGTCTCCACTCGTCCGGTCACGATACCGCTGTCCTGTAACTTTACACGAACACACAAGTCAGTAAGACAACTTGATCTTCTTTGGGAGAGTTGTTCTTGGTTTGGTTTTCAGAGTAACTTATTAATATGACACTGCCCATGTCAGTGCCTGCGGCCTTTTATAGATGTATTAAGCTGCAATATTCTCTAGTTTTGTTTTTGTCCACAAATCCCATGAAAAGATATAAAACTATACATCGGACTGTTCTGACTTCCCTACCATGTCTCTCAGCTCCAAGTCTATTGATTCCTACTAAAAAATTTTAAATGTTCAGTAAAAAACAGCTGGTCATTGTAGTTTTTAACAAATGTTACTCAAACAGGAGGAAATCTGTGCATCTGAGTCTACATTTGGCATCTCTATTGATGTGTTTTTAATAGTTTTTAGACAACAATTGAGCTCTATGGCACATAAATAAGATATATCAGGCTTTGATACACACAATACTTGTTAGTTAGTTGTTAGTAGAGTGAGTACACACCTAGTCGTAGAGGGAATGAACCTCTAACTCTTTAACTGGCCGTTAAATTGAATCAATGTGATATTTGTCTTGCAGTATTCACATTAGTGATGGAAGTCCAATAATTAAAGATGAATGGCAGCCAAATAAATAATACTATTTTTCTTTTTCTTTTATTTATTCATATTCTTTCAATTAATTTGCAGTTGTCTAACTTTTCATTTGGTTATTTGTCGGGTGTTTCAGTCTCTTGTTTTTCCTTGTACACGTGGGTTCATTAAGGAGAGTGACTTGTTTATACGTCACATATTGGGCCAATTAGCGACCCAGTCTTGGAAATAAAAACCAGCAATAAACCACTTCTGTGTCAAGTGACACTGACATATGATCAGTTAAACCTTACTTGTTTAACAGTAGGACCCGTTAGATAGGTAGCTGATGGTTTGGTAAAGTGTAGGTAGTTATATCCTCCAGGCAGCTTTCCTCCTGAGCATAGAGGAAAAACACATGATGAGGGTTGCGGATCATATAATTCATGTTGTAACAGAATACAGGAATCCATCAATGAGTGAATATGATATCCTAAATTGTCCTAAACACACAGATCAATGATGCTCATTGTTTCTGATCTAACGGTGTGTAGCAATACCGTTTTACGGTGTGTAAAAGTACCTTTAACTTTCTCTTCTTTTCTTTTTTTTCTTTGTTTTCATGCATTTTGTAAAAAGCAAGAATTATGAAAATGCCATACTTTAAAAGACCAATCGTGGTGTCAGTGTTAGGAGAAGATGCTTTTATCAGAAGAAAATATTCAAATAAGATGCCGAAACCTGCACTGGCGCCATTACTGAGACAACAACAGACGCATCATAACATGCATTTCACTGTTCACCACCCACAGAGGAAAAGAGAGCCAGACTCAGATAGCAAGCGCTGATATGGCATCTCTGCTCTCCCTGAACATTGAAATCCCTCTGAAAAAGTTCATGTGTGTTTCATTGGGGAAGAAGGGGCGAAGCAGAGAGGCTGTTGTGTTTATGTAACCTGTGGAGTGGCCTTGGGTTACTCCGTGAATACACAGCGGCACAATGCGCCATTGTTACGGCCTGCTATGGTTTGAGTGTCCACCACAATAACATCGGCAGTGGGTGGGTGGGTGGGTGAAAGATTGGAAAATGTTGCACAAAAACATAATGAAAAAATACTGGCAGTGAAAATTCTCTCAGATAAAAGCCGACAAAAACACGAACAGACAGGAAGGACACAGAGGGGAGTATTGAGGTGGACAGACCCTGGAAACATATGGACACCTGACATCTGGTGATGAATGTGAAGGAATTTTGTGTTTATGCCACAAAAGATTTAATGAATAAAACAGCGAAAGAGCTAATACAGTAGTGAAGTGGGACGAGTTCTGTGGGTTTCCAGGGCTCAAGTCCAGTTCATTCTCATTCATTCTCCTGGTTGAGTCATCAGTACAAAGTGGTGAACTGCGTGGGCTGTGTGCTGCTCTTGAATGGAGGTGAGGAGAATAAAAAGTTGTACGTTCGCAAAACCAAACAGGACATCTTCATCGTTTTGAAAGACATTTCCATACCTTGAATCTTGGCTTGCTTGTACAGCGGTACGAGACGATCCATTTCAGGCGTAGGCTCGTTCGCAGGCTCCAGCGTCGGGTCGAAGAGGGGCAGCAACATGGCCGCCAGGTCCCGGCCCACTTCCTTGGAGTTGAAGTTGGCGTGCGACCACTCGTCTGCGTGGTAGCGGCGTGAGAATTTCGTGAGAGGCCCGGCGCCACAAATGGCTGGATCGCTGGTGTGGAAAGTAGCGTTTATGACTAGTCTCCTGTCAAAGACCAGGAAGGAGTTGTTGATGCTCTTGAAGGCGTTGTAGTCGACTCCTCTATTGGAGAGGTTAATGAACACCTGAAAGGTGAAAATAAAAAAAATCTGTATGTTTCCATTTGTTTGGATTTAGTGTAAAAGTATAAATTCTAAACATTTCACTTCTGCTAATGCAAAGGTTTCTGCACGTCCCCACAACTCGCCTGGTGTTCGTCCATATCTAACGTGGGATCTCTATCTTAAGGCAATAGTTTTAACAACAGTTTTGCTTTCTAGCCAATAGTTAGATGAAAAAATTCATACCAATCGTATGTCTGTTAAATATGAAGCTGCAGCAAGGAGATGGTTAGCTTAGCTTAGCATTAGGCACATAACAAAATGTGTCTACCAGCACCTCTAAAGTTGACTGAATAACAAGTTAAATTTTATTCATACAAAAAAAAACAAAGCTATGGGGGGGGGGGGGGTGACTTACTGGAGTCTCTGCTGGTTTCCTGCCAGCCTTAAAACAAGACTCCAGGAAGACACTATTCCTGGGCCGGTAATAGTCCAGCCATGGAAGTATTAAACCTGTGCGCAAAAAAATGTATTTTCCACATGTACCTTAGTTTTATATTTGTAAAAAAAAAGGTATTTCATCTGTGAAGTCTGTGGGCATAGCAGGAGAAACACTAATGAGCATGTAGAGTGCGCTGGTCGAGCAGTTTTCCTTCACATGAATGGGTGCCATTTTGGAGTCTGTTTGGAGTCCAGTTATTTCTATGCGTCCATGAGTCCAACGCAAAACCCTCCCGTAAATACACAACATGTCGGTTTTACTCTAGGGATTTTGTACGGACTAAACAAATGACTTATAAAATAATAAGTAATCCTATAAAGCGAATAAGCATATTGCCCTAAATGTCAAACTAATCTTTTAAGATGCATAGTGGCACTTGCAGCACTTTCAGAGCCTGTTTAAAAATGTTGACTCAGTGTCAGACGATGTGAGCCAGATATGACTGGATGGGTCCATTAGAAATAAACTGAGGATGACACAGATTGTTCTGTCACAAATGTGGACTGCTGATTTAAACAAAAGAGCAGCTGACAATCTCAGCCCATGGACCAGTTAATCATTTGTTCTGGAGCTTTCAACCGCATCACACATTCTTCATCAGCAGTAGTTTGCTCAGTTATACTTGAACTTTAGATGTTTGAGCTTAGTGTGATTTAACTTTAAGTGGAGAAATCCAAGTCTCACAACTAGTAGGACGGCGTGACATGATTGAACGCTCCATCACAAGTGAGTAATCTGGCTTTGAGTTGAGACTGTTTTGTCATCTGATGTTTGCTTTGAAAGGCCAGAAGAGAAAGGATTAGTAACACCAAACCTTGAAAACAGAGAATATGCTCTGAAAGCAAACTGTAATACAGAAAGTTTTCCAGTAAACAACACAATTAAATTCAGTGTATCTCACCAAAACACACTGTTTATATCCTTGAGCTCTAACAAAAGTAACACATACCAGACAGCAGAATCATCTACTGTCTGAAATAATTAAAATTATAAATACACCAAAATGATTTCGTGCTTGACGACACAGTCGGCTTCCAGGAGGAAAATTAACATCCAACCAGCAGCCACAAGCTGGTGAATTTAGCCTGTTGTTTCTGAGCCTTTCAGCTCTACCAGACACCCTGGCCAGTCACCCACCATTGTTTGGGGAACATTTGCTTCTGTAAAAACTAATAACTGACTGGGTAAGCAACTTTGACTTACTCCACACTGCAGATGGAGGGGCTCTGCGTCAGTGGTGAATGACACAGAGGTGAGAGGATCGGGGTGATCTCCGTTGTTCATCTGGGCCAGCAGGCAGTTATGGTGGACCTGGACCTCTGCCTTTTCCATGGCTGATGCCACAGCCTTCTCAACGTCATGGTCGCTGAAGCAGGAGACACCGGGCTCGGGAGGTGGGAGGACTAGATGGATGCGATATCCCCGGACGCCAAGGCTGAGTAAAGTCTCCGTGGTGGTGAAGACGTCGATGCTGTTTCCGTACACGACGGCATTATCTGGAGAAACACAAGGAATAATTAGCATAGTGTTTTCATAGTCTTTCAGAGCGTCTTCAACATTTTGTGTTCAGCCAAATTCATTGGCAACCTATCCAATTGTTGTTGAAAAATTTCTCTTAAACCCACAAACATCATCCTCCTGGCGATGCAATACTTTTGAGTTTTTGAGATGTTTCCATCTGAACCAGAATTGGGAATTTTCTCCAAATCATTCAGCCGTACTTTCACTAAAACGTTCAATACCATATCTCTAACTGATAGATGATCATCAACAGTGGATTTTTATATTAATATTTATTAAACAGCAGCACATCTGTCACATTTATAAATAACATATGTGAAACATCATGACTGGTTTCAGAATTAAATATATAAAAGAAAACTACCTACTGCCTCAATAACAACACTTTTGCTAAAAAAGAAAACAAATTAAGGGTTCATTTTTCTCAATTTAAGTGCTCTTGCCTTAACTTCGGATTGTCCTCAAAGTTGATGTTTATCGTGGTGCAAAATTGTAATGTTCCAGAGTCATGATACAAATGATTTCCATTTTTTAATCTAAGATTTTCCAATCAACAAGAGTTTTTGCTCAGGTTTTCCAAACAGCCTTGAAAGAGGGCAGGAAGGGCTGCGTGTGTTTTACAAGAAGAGGTCCTCGGATTTCTGAACCCTGAACCGCAGATGCAGCAGAGAAATAAAAAAATTAAATCTGAACATCTGAATGGTTTTTTTTTTTTTGGAGAGAATCCATCCTTGGATGCTTTCTCTTCAGAGAAGCTTCTATACAATGATAGTATGTGCTCCCCATCTCATACTAATTATATTACATTTAAAGCACAATGCCTGGAACAGAGGGATCATCCTGCCAATGGTATGTGAGACAAAGACAACAAAAACTGACAAAATATGTGCAGTAATTTATACTCACGTGGTTTTATGTTTTTCTGATAGTGCTGCAGTGCATATAATTTTGGTCATAAAACAGATAACTGAATCCTGTGCAAACAATCAACAAAAAGAAGTAGAAAATCTATATTTCCAGCAACAATCTATTCTAATCAAACATGTTCTGATAAATTGTTGTGTGTCAAGTCAAAACAAACTTTGATAAAGTCAGTGTTGCTTGAAATGGGTGAAAATAATAGTGTTTCCTCTGGACTGTGCCAGCATGATTACGTAAAAGATTAAATGGAAAATATTTGTTATTAAATCGTCCCTAAAATGAAGTAAAGATGTCCCGAGCTGATACAACCTTGTGTTGTATAATAATAAACTTTTTTTGATACCACAATGACTAAAACTACTCTTTGCTGGCATCTCTACTCTTATGCAATCTTCAATCCGAGACAGTTTTCTCCCTCAAGAGACAATAAAGTTGAACTCTTATTAAAACACAGTGTGTAGTTGGTGCAGCGGCGCTCTCCAAGGTGCTGATCTTGCTGCTGGGAGAGAGCTATACTGAGTGCTCGCTTTCTCCCCCGTCCACAGCAGCGGGAAGGTTTCTGCCAACGGGACCTTCCATCCAATAACATCCATGTCTACTCAATGACCTGTTTCCTTGCATATGTATGAACCCTCTGTAAGTGTTTTCGGTTTTCTGAATCTTGAATCTCCTTTCACATGTAAGTACAAGACAGAAGAGTATATATTTTTGTCTCTTTGTTGTTCTCTGCCCTGTAGAAGGCGGCCTTCTACAGGGCAGAGAACAACAAACAAGGCCAACTGACTACTTGATGTATTTAGTTGGATTTGTTGGCTGTAGTGTTATTTGTTTTGCAAAGAGAATAAAACTCCTTAACTGCCAAAAGACACCTTTTCCCCCTCTAACCTTCTCAGATAGTTTCAATAAAATAACTTTGAGGCCTAAAGATTTACAATTATCCATATTAGAGAAGTCCAAAAAATTAATACAGATTGTGTAGCAGAACTTTAAATAATAATTATAAAATAATAAGTATTTCTGATTTACTTTTGATACTATAAGCACTCATTGCTGATAATACTTCTGTACTTATGTATTTAGAATACATGACTTTTATTTGTAATCGAGTATTTTTACAGTGATGTATTGGTACTTTTACATTAGTAAATAATCTAAGTAGTTGGAATAATAGAGTAGTAGAGTTAATAAACACAGCTTTTACGGGCTGTGTCTCTGTCCATGGTGCTGAAGGAGAAGAGCTCTGCTGCTGCTACTGAACCATCAAGGCCAGCAGAACACAAAGCTACTCGTCAATAAATCTATAGTACCCGGCTCTCTTCATCTCTTTACTCCGTCTACTACTAGAAAATGTACATTTTTATGTCTACAAAAAAGAAGGGACTGAATTCCCCAAAAACGTCAAGGCGCACCGCTTTGTTCAGGTACAAAAGTTAAAAAGCTTTATCAGGGTCCTGAGGTTGACGGGTATGCAGTCAATATGGGCTGGTTCTGTTTTTAATCATGTAGCCACTAAAATAAAGGCCTTGAGCCTTCACAAAGGAATGTGCCTTGACTTTTTAGGGAATTTCCTACCAGAGCATCAGCAGCGCTTATCTTTTTGTTTTGTCTTTTCAAGAAGCTCTTGCTCAATCCCAAAATAAATACACACTAGAACACCAAATGTGGATTAATCCTCTGCTGAAAACTAACAAACGCACTATTTGACTTCAGTAAGAACCACGGTTCTTGGGTCTGAGAGCAACAAACGGGGTAGAGAAGTCAGAAAAGCACTGAGAGAAAACAACATATTTCTATATCTGGTATTTTCCTGGTATTTGTTGTCAAAAAGAAAAGAGACAGAACAAAAAAGACTGCACTCTGCTTTAGTCTAAGGCTAAAATTTACATTTACTCTCTGTTTCTTTCTGCTGTTATTATTAAAATATGGAAATAAACATGGTATCTGCTTGAGTCTGTTGTAGCAATTTGCATTTATTAATGGTTTTCCTTTATGACTGGGATCAACTAATTAGTATGTATAAAAGCCTCACTCTAGATCACTGCACAATTCCTTCAGAGAGCAGATTCATTTTGCTTAATGACACTGTGTTTTTTCCCGCTCTGAAAAGCCTGGCTCTCAGAAAGTGATATGATAATGGAAAAAGGATGGAAGAGGCCGACCTGATTCACAGAGATGAAAGATTTCTCTGCAGCTAATTAGCTGCTAATTATACTGGGGCACTTCAGCGCTGACTGACAGTAATGACATACTACTACAGATTCATATTAGGTTCTGTGTGTGCGTGTGTGGGGGTGGGTATTACTCATGTTGTGGGGACTCACCTTCCAAATGTGGACTTGGACTTGGTTTATGGGTGGGTTAAGGGTTAAGCTTTAGTAGTGGTTATGGTTATTGTGAGGGTAAGTCTCCGGGGAATGAATGTAAGTCAATATCATGTCCCATAAAGTACTGGAAAAACAACTGTGTGTGTTCAATTACCCTCCAGCTCCACAAAGTTGGCACACAGCCAGCGGCGAGCAGCCATGCAGTCGTAGAGGTCGTTGAGGGTGAAGAGGTTGGATGGGACGGGACCGGAGTATCTGCGGTGAGCGGACTGAGCCTGCAGCTGGCTGTTTGTGACGGGCTGGCTCACATCCACACCAGTCGGACAGGGCACCTACAGCATCACATGGCACACATAGATATAAAGATTATAATGTACATTTCAGACAATGATGACACCCAAAGTGTCTTATAAACACTTATAAACAGCTCTGACCTAAAGCAAATATAATGAATCATAGCGTAGAAGTAGTACTGCTAAAGGATAGATGAATGGGATAATTAATGTTGGCATAGTTTTACTGACATACAGAATTTTGTTGGCAGTAAAGTTGCACACATTTGCTCTCTTTGGAGAGATCTGATGACACATCTTATTGAGGGGAGCACATTTCCATATTTTATACACTAACCCTCATCCCCAAATATGCACCTGACTGTAGTTTTAGTTACTTCAGCTGTATTTGGTATTCAGAGAGCCTTTATGGGAAACCAGAAATCCCTACTGAGCTCTCAAGGCATCATGGGGCTGATTCAATGTATCATCTGCATTGCAGCGAGGCGTGTTGACAGCCCTATTGTGACAAACCTGCTGTCTTATAGACGGCTCAGATTAAAAGGCCAAAAGTGTTGATCATGTCACCCCAGTGTCTCACTGTCTCACCTGGTACTGCAGGCCTGTACACAGGATGAGGTGATCGTAGGGCACCTTCCCACCACCACACACAAGGACGTATTTGGACTTCCTGTTGATGCCAACCATCTTCCCAGTCACCACGTTAACGCAGGAATGCAGAGGGACCTGGGCCAAGTCTCGGCTGCTGTATGCGTGACTGAGGGGAGGGAAGAGGACTGAGTAGATTCAGAAACTTTGATTCTGCTGGGAACTTTTTTCACAATGTCCTAAAACTACCATTGTACTTTTTCACTGCTCACTATTGATTTTTATTTAGATTTTTTATTAATCGCAATAAGCAGAAAGATTATAATGCATGCCTCTCGGTCGGTCCTCCACTTTGGTGCAAACTGAAATATCACAACAACTTTTTTCTCTCCAGACAGTCTCCATTGGTCCTTTGACAGGTCAATATTCACTTTTCCAGTGCAGTTTCTCAACATCTTCAACATTTGTTGGTACAAAATGTTCTACAGACATGTGGGTTTACCAGATGATGAACCCTGCAGACTTTGGAGGTCATCTGACTTTTGCTCTAACCCCACCATGAGAGCTATGAGATGGTTAACATGGTAAACACTATACACGCTAACCATCAGTATATTAACTTGCTAATCTTAGCAGAGCCGCTAGCTTGGATGTAGACTTTTAGTCTTGTTCTATTTGTCTTGCTATTTTATCAGTGAATGCAGGAGAAATGTGTTGCTCAGATTTCTTAAATCTGGAAATCATTCAGGATAAATTTACACCATATTGTATAGCTATTAGTTTGGTGCACTCATGAATTTAAAAACTAGGCAACTTATTAAACTCTGGAGTGAATTAATGTATTTGTAAATGATGACTTGAGTTTATAACACCTAAAACTAGTAGGGCACTTGGAGAGCGCAGACCTCTGCCAAAGCAAATAGCCCAGTGGTCGGCAATAGGCGGCCCGCGGGCCAGAACCGGCCTGCCAGCAATGATATCTGGCCCACGGACAGATTGCTTTGATAGCAGAAAAATATAAAAATAAAAAAATTGATGGCGGCTGGTGCTGAAACAGATCTCAGTCATGACAACTACAGTTATTCCCACAATCACTTCCTCTTCAGTGATTGTGCCTCCAAAATAAAAGCGGCAGAGCGTTTTTTGCAGCAATGCTTTATGTCGAGTTTATTGAGAGCTTTTACCTTGAAGAGATTGAAGGACATTCAAAAGAGTCTCTGGCCTGCTTGACACACCTCTGAAAAAGCAGTCAGTAAACGTGTGATTGAATTCCCCTAAATTTCCTCAGGGAAATGAAAATAAGGTTATGGTTAATGAATGAGGATCCAACGCCGGGACCACACTGCAGCACAAGCTTTATTGTGAGCATGTGCAAAAGTGTAATCAATTTGTTTAACAAGGGAGAAAAAGAATAGGGGGGGGGAGGCAGGGTACACCATGGACAGGTTGCCAGTCCATCGCAGGGCAACACATAGACAGACAACCACTCACACCTAAGGACAATTTAGAGACACCAATTCACCTAGACTGCATGTCTTTGGATGGTGAGAGGAAGCCGGAGCACCCGGAGAGAAGCCACGCAGACACGGGGAGAACCTGCAAACTTCACACAGTACCGACTGAGCTAAATGTGCACACGAGTATCCAAGGATTTGAAATGATTTGACTTTGTTCTGGCCCTCCATGTAGCGGCTTGACTTATTTGCCGACCCCTGCAATAGCCCCATCTTCTATGATATGCAAATCTGCAAGCGTAACCACGATATATGTCTGGATATACAGTTTTTACAAAAGTATTAGAATTACAGTAAGTTGAAATATGGTTGAGCCTCATCATCTCAGCTCACAAGCGACCTATCTCGCAATGTTAACGAAAGTGAAAAATGATTTGTGAATCTGCCGCGTGATTTCGATCTGCTCCAAAATGCCCACGCTGCACCACTTAACCGTGTTTAAAGAAAATCAGGCAAGTAATTTTTCCATAATCCTGCTGACAAACACACGGCACTGAAAACATGACCTCCTGAGCATAGGTAACAATTACACAGCTTAGATATTTTTAGAGCACTTTCACAGTATGTTGAGAAATACTGTATCCAATAGGTAATACAACGTGCCACAAATTTTCCATTTTCATGCCTAATGTTGTTCCACTGGCTCACCTTGTGGACAGAAATCCGATGTCCTTGTGGTTGTAGTCGCTGAGGAAACCATGTGTTGAAATGAGGGTCAGGTTGTTGAACCTCAGGTGAGGGCTATGAGAGAACAAACAACACTGAAAAGCATAAGAGCCTTTCCACGCAACACATTGAATACATACAGGACACCATGTGAGAGGAATGTTTTCTGGGGAAGGACAACTTCAATTTCTAAAACAACTTCCTGCTTCATCCACTGATGTGCAGCAGCATTTAGAAAGCCTGACTAATGTCAGCCATGTCAAGAGGAAGACAAAGAATATGAAATAAAACTCTTATAGCGATGTGCTATACATGAAAGATGTTTGGCCCTTGAAATCTTTAAGTATTAGCTGCTATTGCTGCAAATACTACTAGTGTTGCCATTCAGGAGTAAAGTAAGATCAAGGAATGGCTTGCAAGATGTTTTCTCTTTATATGGACTGAACAGAATCCTAAAAAACTAAAACGATTAGCAAGTTATTGTCCTTGACAGATTTATTTCGTTGTCTACGATGTTTGTTAGACTGTAGTCTGAGTGGAGAGAGCACAACCATACAGATGCTGGGTGAGGTGGATAACAGGACAAGCTTTTGTTAAGAAAGTAAGTTTAAAGGCGTTGCAGACAGCACACACGGGCCATTTCTCTTATCCTGGCCTATTAGACCTGGACTATTAGCCCGAGGTAGCCGGTTTTAGTCAGGACCGTGCAGTATGTTCTCGGGGGTAGCCGGTTACACTTTGGTGAGATCACATTACATAAACAAAACAGAAACCTCAGGATATCACAGGACCTCACTGAGACATAAAAAAGGAAGTAAATACATAAAATGACTTTAAGCAAACTATAAAACCTTAATGCAAACAAAGATATAACAATAAATAAGTCAGTGATCTTACAGAACCAGCCTGTCCTCATTCGAATACTTTTCATATAGGAGGATGTTAAAAACATGGTTAGTTAGGTAAAAGGAGTCTAATGGTGTAAATTTGGAAAATGGATTCAGACTGCACCACTTTGTCAAGCTGTTTCCTGTATCGCAAATAAAAACTAATTTCTGTTCTTATTTTTTGTATAGAATATTTTTATTTATTAGTGATTGAAAGGGTTTGATTTGAGTGTGGATAATGTACATATTTATAATATTTTATTGGTTTGCTGGATGTAGGATGATGCCAATAGAAATAAATCTTGAGATTTCATTGTGTCATCCTTGACATTTTTTGTAGATGTGTGTGACTTTTTGCCTCCCCTAACATAATGTAAAATCAACTACACCAAACTATTGAGTGTGTAAGTTCCTTCCTGATCTTAGAAAAAGTAGTTTGACATTAAAAAAGACCATCAGATGCAGTGGAAAGCTCTAGAAAAAGTAGTGAATCCATAATTAGAAATGTTGCTTCAGTAAAACTCAAACACAGTTGAATTGTCTGAGAGTCATTCTGCTGAAAGATGCAACATTTAAACATAAATGAAAAATTTATTTGTTTACTCAGTGATTGGGATCTTCTCAGTTGGAAGTTCTTTAGTCTACGGATGTCTTTGTAGTTCCTGAGCCCTCCTACCTCTTGTGTTTTTACTGTCTACAATATACAACATCTCTTGTGATGCAAATAACCTCTTTTATGGTGGCCTACAGGACATTACACAGCTGATAACAGCAGCTCCTGCTCCTTCGTCCAGTGAATAGGAGTGTGTACCTCGCAGTGTTCAGCCTTATCACACAGACGCCTCTGATCGTCTCCTGCTGTTTTTATCTCGGCTTACCGCTAAATTAACGCCCACCGCCACAGATCTGCATCACCAGACGCCAACACGCTGGTAAACTGACTGGGTATAGTTTGGATGACGGTAGTATAACCTACCACGATGACGGTGGGAGGTTATATTATATATACAATATGGGGTTTTACTGAGTGAGAGGATAGAAATTTGCAACCAGCAGAGATTTGGGGAAGAATTTTGCAAATTGATGAGAAGAACTACTTTATGGTAATATTGCATTTACAGGATTTTGGAATCAATCTAATGATTTGTCAGGTATTTAAATCACTGGATTAAAAACATCTGATTATTTTAACAGTTTCCAAATAAAATTCCCAGTAAAGGAACTATTATATTTGATATCGTAATAGTCTAACGGCTGCAACTAACACTGGTATTCATTATCAATTAAGCTGCAGAAAATGAAGATTTCCCAAAGCCAGAGCCAAAGCTGACGTCCTCAAACTGCTTGGTGTCTAAAAACCAAAGATATCCATTTTACAATGATATAAAAATAGAGAAAAACAGCAGATTCTCACATTAGACAGCAAATTTGGGGCATTTTTGTTTGTTAAATAACTTAAAGGATTAAAACTTGGGCTATATTTCTGTCAAAGACTAATGGCTTAATTGACTAATTGTTTCTTTACAAGTTATATTACTCACTTGTAGAGAGCAGCAAAATAAGCATGTATGAAAATGATGAGGATTTTTTCCCCCAGTGAAACCTACAGATTTATCGACCAAACCAGAGTTTACAGCTGGATCAAGTAAAGAATCCATAACTGTCATTACCAAGCTTTGTGTCACCAGTGGTTTGATCCTTGATTTTGACATGAGCATGCAAATAATAATAATAATCATCCATCAGACAATGACTGCAGTCAAACTTTCCTTGTTAATCTGTGCCAGAAGGTGGATTTATGCCGCAGCACTGAGGCATTAAGGCCCATTATTGGTGTCTGGATGTGACTGAATCAGAAGCCCTGGATTTGCTCTGTTATCAGCCGGTGACAGACGGCCGTGCTGACCCTGCAGCCTGACCGCAGCGAGCAGAGGGCCGAGCTGCCGCAGAGCTCTTTATCTGTCTGACCCCATCCCAGCCAGTAATGGAGTTGGAGGGGTGGTGCTGGTGCTGCTGGGATGGATTCAATGAGCACATGGAAAGCTGTGTTTGGGTGGGGGAGTGAAGGGGGATGGACGTTTGGGCAGGGCTGATAAGGGGGGCCCCAGCAGGCCGAAACTGACCCATCATTCACCCTCTCAATGCATCACCGCCTCACCATTAGTTCAGCGGACACTAACTGCCTCATTAGTCAACTCATTAGTGACAGCAAACACAGATCGCTGCAGCAGATCCCTGATGGGGGGAAACAGTGGAGTGGCTAATTAAAGGGGGCCAGCACTGGCCCTGCTGAATGCCAGGCCGCAGACAGCTGCGTGCTACCCGCCCCGCCATCACCGCCGTGCCAGCCTTGCCAACTCAGAGAGCTATGAGTTCTCACTCGCACAAAACAACGACCCTGGTTGCCTGGCAGCTATCGCCCGGTTCTGAATCAGCAGCCCCGCGCTTCTTATTATCTGCCGGAGCAGTTAATCTCACAAAGCCAGGACGAAGGCAAACATGTAAGACGCCCGACCCGGAGTCAAGTGACATTTACAGAGATTGGATTCCCGGAGTAAAAGACGATAAAGAAATGAAAGGAAGCTTTAGTGTCGGACTGCTCTGGTTGGGTTCAGGGTTTCTGGAGTATTTCTCTACATACAGAATGTGTGATAAACATTATAACAGCTGCAAGCTGTCTATTATACCTCCTGCATCGTCTCTGTGCTCTTCACCACTTGTCTGTGTTTACTAGCAAATTACAGATAAGGCTGGTGTTACTAGTGTTATATTTTTCTTATCATCCACAAATCCCATGAAAAGACCCAGACCAACAGTGTCACAGTTTTTCCGACTTCCCTGTCTGTCACTCTCAAGCCCCAAGCCCACTGGCTCCTACTGAAGGTCACACCTTTCTAGTATTAAAAATCCTTCGTAGTTTTTAACAACCGTTACTCAAACAGAAAGAAACAGGAAGCATTTGTTGGGGACTATTTTCAGCGGCGGATGAATCCACATTTGGTGGTCTAGTGAGTATTTGGTGCAGCAGGACGGCGTATGTGAGGCTGAATAAGAATAAACTACAGTGTGTGTTCGTGGTGGTGTCTCCCAGTGCAACAGTGTTTGCTACACACTCAGTACTTGCTAGTAGACACATTCAGCGCTGGTTTTAGTCTTTTCATGGAATTTCAAGGCAATGAGATGAAAATAAAGAATATTACCACAAACTAACTGACGCACAGAAAACTCTGCAGCATAGGAGAACTGGCTGGTATCTGAGTGTTCAGGAACATAATGAATCTGCCATGTATAGCCTGCTGTGTGCTGTGTCCTTGATGGGAACTTGGCGATGGCAGGGTATACACACAATGCACAGATGGTGAGAGGTGTGTGTGTGGGGGGGGTGTCAATAGGGGCCCTACAGCAAATTGTGCCCCAGGGCCCCTTAAAAGGTTAATCCAGCCGTGACTACAGAGATAAATGTGACATTATTTGTCACTGCTGCCAGTAATTCAGAAAAAGGCCATAGTATACATAGTCTTCAGCAAATCTGGGAGAAAAATGGCAATGGGGAGCTTGTGAGGAAGACTCACCAGAAACAAAGCGCCTCAAGGAAAGATAAACCTGTGTCTGACGCCCCCACCACCACAATCCTGGCATTAATGGCGACCTTTGGCTCCATGGTTAACTTTCTGCTGATAAGGCTGAGAGCAAACGGTGCCTGAGAGAAACACAGAGAGAGAAAACAGTCCAATTTAGTGTTTTTTCTTAAGTAAAGCAATCTGGAAGGCAAAAATGACTGGTGCCATTTTCTGAAAATGTAATAATATATCAAATGCATGGAAGTATTAACCCACTAAAAGCATTACATAATGATGGGGATTTTGAATATCACAGGATGAGGAAGGAACCAGCTTTCTTTGAAGCACTTAATCTGCCTGCCACTGGAACCTTTATAGTCTGTAATGTTAAAGTAAGGTTTTGCCAAATCTTACGCTTCTGAAATATGTGCTGAATGAAACTAACTGAATATCAACAACCAACCTTTTACAGGTGGTCGGAAAATTTAAAAAAAAAAGACTACTAGGCATTAGCCAACCTAAAGTAGATGCGCCTTGAGGCTGAGATGTTTCACATCAGAATTCAGCTGAATGAAAAGACTTAATTATCTATATTGTATAACTCAAATGACTAAAGGGAAGGCTTCTGCATCTTTAAACTTTCTGGTCAACCCTACATCTTTTCAGGGTATATTTCTGTTTCTAGGTTATTTTAATTGTAATTCATTCTCCTCTTTATTTTGGTTTTCTAGTGTTTCTTGACTACTTGAATCTTTCCCAACACTTATACACACTCACACACCTGCACGCCTCTTCCTATCTCTAACTCCCTGTATGTGTCTGCTCTGCTGACTTTCTTTTCCCAGCAGCAGGTGCACTTTATGTGGAGGAGACTTGTTAATGACGTAGCCTATCGAAACCAGCATAGTACCGAATGACATCTGTACTGGTACTGTTCACTGTTGCTCTACCTGGCCCATGCTTGTAAAACATCCACCGTGTCTGCGTCCTGTAACGTAAAAACAGATAACATCTCTCTCTGTGTCACCAAATATACTTTGGCGGCCGTTAAAATACCCGGGTGCCCTGTCCAAGTAAAGACTATATGTGGGAAACACTGCATTAAAGTATGTGTTTATTCATATGACACATTTTTCTTTAAAACATGAGATGCGGACACGGCATTTTAAAGCTTAAACCTTGAAAAACCTTTGGACAGCCATTGCAATATCAAATGAAGGCAATATTTGGTGTTTCGCCTTATAACAGGAGCTAAATGTACGATTACTTCTACTCTACAAATTAACTGTCTAGTAGAAATCTATATTCTACTAATTTGCAACAGTAAATAAGTTTTAAAGAAACCTTTTGCCACTTGGATTATGTTTTTTAATCAACATAATCATGAAGGATATCTGCCGGTATATCTGCCTATATCCAGTCTCCGGTGCCTCCTGGCACTTTGTCTTGGTGTGCTGCACATAATCCAGGTAGAAAATAAGTGTCCCTCAAATTTGTCAAAACAAATTAGCTGTAAATAGACATAATTTCTGAGACAAAAAGAGAAGGACAAACATTTTATGAATTGAAACAACCTCCTCTGTGGTGGAGGGAAATGATGCTGCACTTAAACTAGAGAAGCTCAGATATTTTCTTTTCTGAATCATAGTAACACCAGGCTCTAAACTTTGGCTCTGTCCGATAAAATAAACATATTTGTTGTCACTTTTATCATTCTCTTCTGCAGACCCATCCCGCTGGGACAGATGTGTAGATATTTGAGGTGATCCTTTTTTAATTATTCATTTTTAAAAATGTTATTTATTCATATTTTGTGCTTTCATCCCGCTGTCTACCCCTGTTTGTGTAATTATCGGGTGTTTGTTTTATATTCATATGTTCAAAAATCAACAAACACAGTAAGAAAAATTTAAGAATTTCAATAACCGCCGCTTCAGATTTGAATGAGATGGAAACACAGGGACAAAACGTGTGACCTGACAGTTAAGGAACACTTTTCCACAATAATTACCAAAGTGTCCCACAGGAATTAGTAGAACGCTGCATTCTAATTTCCCAATTCCTCCACCGCCAATGAAGCATCTCTGGTCCTCGCCCTGTGATCTGAGGCAGCTAATGGCTCCTTCATCATCTATAATTAGGCAGATTGGCCCCACAATGCACCTTGTTGGATGAAAACAGCACTGAGTGAAAAAAGGGGAAACCCGAGGGTGAAATTAACCTTTGTGTAATATTCATATAATTTCCAGGAGGGTCTGTGCGCCCGACATCTGTCACTTACTGAGAGACGTTACGGCCCAGGGTTTGGTTAGCAGGAAAAGAAAAGAGCATATGGTTTATTTTGTATGTGATAAATACATCTGTGCACACATCAGAAGATATCCAATTATACAGTGTGTGTCTGTATATATATGCATATATATATTCCCCAGTTTTAAAATTTAAAACTTTAATTTCATTTTTTTCTTTTTAATACTTTTGTTATTTTTGTTTCTATTGCAAAAGTAAATTCCAAACGCATGTTTTAGGAGGTACTTTGGGAAGATATTTTAGCCTGATGAGAAACCAGCTAGCTTCATTAAAGTTGTGAGAGTATAAGTGCTGTTTTCTAGACATGAAACTGCGTTCCAGAGAATTGGATTTTGATAACAGGTTGAACGAAAAACAAAAGGAGAGAAGTTAACTACGACACTCAAGGAGCATTTTTGTACGAAACATCCAGTCCCAGAAATTGAAAATTCAGCTTTAAAGCCAAACATTAAACATTGTAGTAAACTGTAAACATTCATCTGTTCACTTTGTTCAGTTTTGACTGAAGTCAGCAACTGTGGAAATGTATTTTGTTCCCAAATGCACCAAAACATTCTGAAACAAAAATAAAAACTGTACTTGTTATTGCATGTAGGCAAATTAAATGCCTACATGCATCCATCTGAATACTGCAGGAATTAACCAGATGAGGTATTCAGATGAACAAAGCTCCTGTCTCATCTGCATGTGTGGTGGAGCAGGTGCAGCAGCTCTTATCACGCTGGAGATGCCCCACCTTCCCTAAACACAATGACTGCAGTTCTGTGTAATATGATCCTGTATTGACAGAGAGGGAACAGGTGCTTTAAATTTGATTAATCATCCCGAGGCCGACGTCAGGAGGCAGAGGGAAAGCTCGGAGGTGAAGCTCTTATCTGCACGGTAGCCTGGAAATCACGCCTGCTGTGTTACCAAGGTGAAGGCGGCGGGCTGGGTTTGATGGAGTGAAATGAACATATGAGTGTGCATGTGACGCCTCGGGTCTAAAGAGCACTGCTGTACATGTAGTAAATATTTGAAGTACAGGACAGTAAAATAAATCACGGGCACATTAAGATCAGCCAGACCTGAAACCAGAACACAGGACTCAGGGTAGAAATTAAACCAAAGAAGAGTAAACCAGTAAGAGCTGGGATTATCATTACTCACCTGTCACTTAAGGTTTTTATTTACAAATAAAGAAACCAGTAGCTCTCAAAGTGACACTATCTGCTTAAGTCACTAGAAATAGACAACTTAAAAACATTTTGAGAGATTCAGGGCTGAAGTAAAAACAGGTGGTTGGGCTACGCTCGCAATTATTATTTAAATTGCGGATATTAGTAAACACTTTCGGACATTCTCTCCTCAAACGCATTCATGGTGATTCATTAATTTTTACATGTGAAAAGTGAAAGAATTAGAGAATAGAGACAGAAGTTCAAATCCTGCTTTCTCACCTCCACAGACCTGGCTGTATATATTGTTTTATTTAATAAAATTTATTTTATATATTGTGATATTTTAAAATACATTTAATTATTTGTTAAGTTCTTGATACCTTTGAAGGAGACCTGTAGTTTCTCTACATAACTTAATTAATATTGATGTGCAGCCTATTGTATTATCTTGAAGTTATCCAGAAGAACAAAGAGAGGAAGAGAGGCTTTTTTAAGTGTTTACATTTGAAATGATTTCCTTTCAGTAGTGGTTACACTTAAGCTACAATTCCAGCCTCAGTCACACTCAGTCACATACACCGTCCTGCCGCTGCAAATATTCACTAGAGCACCATCTGTGGATTAATCCACCAGTTAAAATAGTCCCCAACAAATGCACCATTTCCTGCTGTCAGAGTAACGTTGCAACACGACACACTGTTTAAGGAAATAACTGAGACTTTTTAAAACATAAAACTAGAATGTTCTGAGCTACAACTCTTTTTAACACTTTCATTTCAACTTCTTTCAGTGCTTGAAATTGACCTGTCGCTTCAACTTCTTTTACTGCTTTAACTCCATATACACCCATATATATGTGTAATTTTTAAAGATTTAACATCCATCCATCCTCAACCGCTTATCCTGCGTACAGGGTCACGGGGAGCTGGAGCCAATCCCAGCTGACATCGAGTGAACGGCGGGGTACACCCTGGACAGGTCGCCTGTCCATCGCAGGGCCACACATAGACAAACAACCAGTCACACGCACCTAAGGACAATTTAGAATCACCAATCAACCCAGAGAGACATGCGAACTCCACACAGAAAGGCCTGGAACGACCAAGGCTCAAACCCACCACCTTCTTGCTATGAGTGAGTGCCTTTTCTACCTACAAATACTTGTTGTGTAGACAAGCTTTGGTTGAACCAACACAACATTATTTCTAATTCTAATTGAGATCCAAACATTTTCACAGATATGAACCTTCTGTACTGAAGTTTCCCCTCCATACATTTAAGTGAAGCCTCTTCTACGGATCTGGGCTTTTTACCTTTTGAAACAGCACCATCTAGTGGTCACATTAACACCCTGCTGTGTTCCCTCTGTCAGCAGCCTTCAGCTAATCTACATTCCCTGGCAGGCTGCTCCCTGTCAGCCAGCTGCTGCAGTGCCCACCTGGTCCTCGGTGATCTGCCTGGAAGGGGCATTGATGCCAAGCTCCTCCAGCGGGTAGATGATCTGGCGTCGCGGGCGGACAGGGACCGCGCAGTTGAGGACAAAATCCAGATGGTGGACACAGGAATTCTGGGTGCAGAAGAAGAGGGCACAATGTCAGAGAGCTCAGAAAGAGAAAATCTCCTCTGAGGTCAAACAGCATCAGTGTGGGGGCTCAGGAGGCCACTGGAAGACGACACAGTGATAATGAGCTCTGGTGAAGAGGTTAGATGATGCAAGGTTTACACCGCTGATATGAGCTGCCTGGAAAACATCACCCAGGGCTTCATCCACTGCCTGATCAGAGCTAATTCTCTGTTTATCTTCTGCCATTATTCTCTTTGCACATCATCATCTCCCAATCTGGTGCTTGTTTGTGGAAGGTAATTAACAGAGAAAGTGGAGGCCTCTACACGTTGAGGAAATGTCTCATTATGGTGTGGTGAGGTGGAGCTGGCAGCACTGTCGGCACCTGCTGCCCTGACCCCGGGGACAGCAGCCTGCTGAGGGCGGTACTCTGCAAAAAATACTGCTGCTTAAAGCTATTATAACATTTTTATAAATACAAATCCATCTCTGTGATCAGCCTAAAGAGCTGCAGAAGACGAGAGATGCTGTAGACTTGTGTAATGTTGTTCACTTTAGTGTGAAGCAGGTGGTGAGCAAAATGGTATTACAACCAACAAGGAACATTAAATTATTGCCAGAAATACAAAAAGAAAATAGAAAAGGCAGTTTAAAAAAAAGACAATACGTATAATATTTAATCCTAATTTTAAACATCAAGGGTCATATATGGGTTTGGCAGGACAGAGGATAACGATCAGACTGTTTTTCAAGTCTTAGTAAAATGTTTACCATCATTTCTAATCACGCATATTAGAGCCTCCAGTTTGAAAGGGCAAATATTTAAGGCATCAAAAAACATAAACAGGAACTCAAAAGTAGATTTAGATCCTTAAATGTTTACAAAAAGCATGTTTTCTATCAGGTTTTACTGAGTATTTTGACAACAAGGTTTTTGAGGGCTAAGAAAAAACCAGACTGCAAATCGCTGTTTCTCTTGTCTAGATTGAAAAACAGAAAACCTGTCCAATATGTCCTGTCTGGCAGTTTTACTGTTGTTACACTTACTGGGATTTGACTTAAAAGACCGTGATGAGATTTGACCAGTTACATCCAGCTACTTTTTGGAGCTACGTACTGATTTTGTCAAACACTGATTTGTAGATGTGAAACTGGTCACCCACCTATTTTATATTCCTTCAATCTATGTTGAGAAAATTCATAAAAGTGAAATTTTCTCTTTTGCCAACAAGTGAAATCAGCGCATCACACAGGACATTTTTTGCAGTGTTTCAACTGAGGATCATTACACTAATGACATGGCAATGTCTATCTGCACAGACATGAACAGAGGCTGGAAGGGGACCAGTGAAGGGCCTGTAAGGGCCCGAAGGTCCCTGTGCACCCACCTCCTGGCTCTGGTAGGAAGGGTAGATTCTGTGGAACAGGCAGGATTTGTGAGCCAGGCGGAGGACATCCTTAAACAAGTGTCTGGTGAAGTGCTGGAAGGACGGTTTGACGACAAAGTGGCGTATCTGAGCGTGCTCCTCGTAGCGGTGATGGCTGAAATAGATGAAGTTCTCGATGTTGTAGTGGCCACGAATGTACTCGATGTCCTGACAAAGACAGATTCAATAATGACATGACAGAGGGACATTTTCAGAACAAATATTTGTTTTTGATATTTTCTTATTTTAATTTTCTTTTGTGTAATAAAGCTGATGATGAGTGTAATTTATATAAACATATCTCTTCTGTCCTACTCATCAGACAAACAGTGTTATTATTTATTATTATTTTATCTTCATTTTCTATTCTAGTCATAAAGATCATAAAGTTTTTAAATACTCTAAATATATAGTTTTCTGTTTGATGTATTTTATACTTTTTTTCTGGAGAAAATATTGCTTAAAACTTTTGATTATTTTCATTATAAATTAAACCTTAAATTATTTTTAAATTGGGTTCAGAAATAATATATCAGAAAATAGTGAAATATCACAACCTTCAGATTGCTTGGCCCACAGATTTTAGATTGACATAAAACAGACAAAAGGCCAGAAATCCTCATAACGTTTAGCATTTTTGCTCGATAACTAATTTAAATGACTGAAATGAAATAACAGATAAAACAGGTATTGATTAATCTCTGGTGGAATTTGTTAGTGGTGCTGTGTGTAACAGTTGATGTTTCATCAACATCTTCCCAACATAATTTCATCAATTTTTCTGCCAATCAACTTTTTAAGTGATCAAGTAATCATGTCAGCACTAAACTGATTTTATGTTATGTCTCTACTTTTGAAGCTACTTATAATTATTTTCTACAGCAATAGCAGTTTAGTGTTGGGGACTAGCACTGGGGAGAGCAATTAAAAAAGAAAAGTGATGTAGCAGAATCAATATATGTTCAATATCTCATAAAAAAATACTTTCAGTCAGATTCTACAATTCCCCTCTACAACTCATATTCATGCTAATATATTTAACTGTGCAGTACATAAATATTTTGGTGGTTACAACCTTTTAAAATTATGTCTTCTTAAAAGTAAGATGTTTTCAATTGAGTTCGGCAGTTATTGATCCTGAGAGACAGAATCCCACCCTGACCCAACACTTTCAGGTTCATCTGAGGACAATGTCGAGTGAACTGCAACTACCTGCTCGTCTCTGATGATCAGTATCCCCACAACCTGACTTTGCACCTGGGCCACGAAAGCCTGCAGCAACACCCCATCCTGACAAACAAGAGAACAAAACAACAAATGTGTAAATTTACATGCGTGTACTGAATTGAATATGAGCTGGATGCTCCTTCTTGTATTAGTGTAGTGCTATGAATACACATGAAGTGGCTGCATTCTCATTCGAGAAGTAATTATCAGTTTTGGAGCTGCGGCAGTGACAGCTGGGGTGTCAGTCAGAGAGGAAAATGCGTTCAACTGAATTCTCACCAATCTGTTCCCTGGCATACGTGCGATATTCCTCGTTATTCCAAGACAATCATCATCACCAGCTCGAGTCACACTTCATTGTCCAAAACAATCATCATTTCATTTTAAACGTTAAAGGCGGCACAGATATTTCAACCTCGATGTTTTCTCTATTTGCTTTTATGCTAATTAAAATGAATTCCAAACACTGAGCACGTTAAAGTCCAGCTTCTGTTTAGGAGGAGAAAATTGGTTTATATAGCATTTAAAAATAATATTTTGCATACTTTGGCTGCAGTGGCAAACTGCTACTCCATAAATGAATAAAAAATATAGGTTTATATAGGAATAAGGTTTGGTTGCAGGGATGCGAGTACAATGAAGTCACAGGTTTTTTAACTAAAGAAAGAAAAGGAAGGTAAAGAATGCAATAACTAATGGAATAACAGCTGGTAGTGATAGATCTTAACTAAAGAAAGCTCTGTCCTATTTGACTGATGTTCAACTTTTTTGGGAGAATATGTGATTTAAAATAAAAGCATATTTGGGTTTTTCTAAAATAAAATGCAGAGGAGGTAGAAGTAGTTTTTAGCCATGAGTAGTGTCTGTAGTAATCCTCTCAGGCTGCAAAAGGCCTTAAGCTCCACCATAGCGCAGCCTGTAGCCTGAGAGGCAAAGCCCAGGGCAAAAATAGACCACCAAGCCATTAGCCAAGTAATAATGGAAGGTGACACAGATTACAGTATCAACTTTTTGGACAGCGACACTGTCTGGAGAGCGTTTAGTAAGTAAACAGGATCTGGAATTTACACACCTGAGCAGGATAAGAACGTAATAAGTTGATAGATACATGATTATATGACTAACATGATGTATTTAATATATGTAGAGTGGCTGCAGGTAGAACCCAGGTGCGCTGGAATGAGTGTGTGCTGACTGACCGGGTCTCTCCGGGTCTCATAAAAGCTGTCCAGGTCCTGCAGCAGGGACTGGTTCAGTCTTAGACCCTTCACCAGATCAAAGACAGCTGGCCGGTCTGCAGCCACAGCCGGCCTCACCTTCACACTCCTGCAAGAACAGCCGCAAACTGAGAGGAACACTGGTCTGTGTCATTATCATTTACAGGTGGAGCCACAAATGTGTAGAGAGACCACCGTCCTCTAACAAAATCAAGGTTATTCATTGTCATTTTACAACACAGGGTTGCTTGTTGAAATGTAGGTTCTGCAGCCCCTTCACGCTAGACACACACGGAAAAACATACATTTGAATAAAATACAAATAAAATACTTATATAATTCTATTGGACAGTATTTGCAGTATTTGTAATGTCAGTGTAAAGTTCCTTGTCATTTATTCATGTTGGAGTGTGGAGAAGTTGTAAACTTGCTATCCTGTGAGGCATACCGAGACAGCATCACTGATGTGACAGTGACGTAGCTGAAAAGCAGACAATGTTATTTCTTTTCTTTTACAGGAGGACCCACCTGAGCCCGGTGCGGTGCGAGATGTAGAGTTCACGGGGCAGCGAGCTGCTGGCACGGGGCAGCACCCTCTGGAAGCTCTGCAGCAACATGAAATCGGGGGACAGTGTCGGTACAGTGATGATGCAGAAGTCCAGGTCCTGACAGACAAACACAGACATCTGTATGTTCAATACATCCTCAAAAAGGTGACAGGGATCTTTCACTTTATTAACGCTCCAATACATGAAAATCCATGTCATGTCTTTTTGATAACTTTAAAATCCCTCCTGATGTGTAAAGGAATTCAGTTTTTTACAATTACATCCTGGCATTTACTTCTCTACCTGGAACACTTCTTGCACATCAGATTATCATTCCAGGAACATGGGAGTATTTATTTTGTCTCTTGCCCAAACACAGAGATGTTTGACTTATTTACTGCTGTCTGTTTATGCAGCTTGTAAACAAAAACTTATTTTCTGGTAGAGCCAAATTTCTTAACTGTAACATGCAAAGATGATACTCACAGGGAAAAGTTTGAATATATGTGGAATAAAGTCCACTGATCTGGAAGAGAAGAAGAAGAAGGGGTCGGGACGTTAAGTGAAAATATGTCTGTGCCAACTTCAGAATCAGTGCCAAGCTTGCCAAAGCTGGTGATCACTGTGGTGGAACAACTGGCCGACCAATCTGCCCGCTGCTTCCAGCTCAACTTCTCGCCTTCAGCTCTGTCACGCTGTCACTTTAAGCACAGCTCTCATTAATAACATGCTCACTCTCGGCAGGAAGCGACTCGACTTCATATTCAGTAACAGCTGGGAGGTAAGGCGGCAGTGAGAGGAGCTCAGCAGGAGCCAACTAACAGTCATTCTCCCTGCTTTAACACAGCATATGACTGATGTAACTCTGGACAGCTGCCATCGCTGTTGCAAAAGCATCGCCTAAAAAATTTATGAGAAAAAATTTGGTGGAGTATTTTTTTTAAATATAGTTAATTCTTAAATAGACTTGTATCTGACTTTTGATACCTGTAAATTATAGAAACTTAATGCAGTAAAAGTATTTTTGGCTGCACGTTACCCTTTAATAAGTACATGTAACTTGCCTGCAGCAGATGGCCCCAAACCAGAGGAAATAATGCATTTGTTGGGGACTATTTTCAGCAGCGGATGAATCCACATGTCCTATAGTGAGTATTTGGGGCAGCAGGATGGTGTTTGGGGGATTGAGTCAGAATAAACTACAGTGTGTGTGTTCATGGTGATGAAGGAACATGTCACCCAGTGCAGCAGAGAGGCTCACTGATTTTAATAGTTTTTAGAATCGTAGGATACATTCAGTGTTGGTTTTTAACAATAATAAAACATAGATTATTGCCAGCTTTGTCCTTTAATTGTAGAAAAGACTGTTCAAATACACTAAGAGCCCGCTCATTAATCCCTCGACTTTACCTCATTTCATAATTCTTGTCAATAATGAAGACCTGAATACAGAAAGCGTTGGATTTCTTTGAAACATGTCCTGCTCCAGTCGACTGTTTCTCCTCCTGCTGAGATGAAAGTGACAATAACAACAAATATACGACAAAGTAGAAGGCAAAGACTAAAAACTAAACTGTTAATGACTGTTGCTGTTTTAGTTTTCAAATGTTAATATCATACTCATGACTTTAATTGTATTAATTAACACATTTTAGCGAGGAGACACTACTGAAATGCTTCCTACTTGTGACTATAAGTATCTTTATTTGTAATATGAGGGAGTGAGTTTACAGGAGTGCAGTTAAGTTACCTGCTGTGAATCAGATGTTTGGGTTTTTCTCAGTTCTTCTTCGTCCTCTCTTGAGTCAGGCAGAGCGGCAGGTTTGTACAAACCATTAAACTCGCCCAACTCAAAGCTGTCGTGCAGCTGTTTCAAATCGACACCAGAAGTGACACTGATGAAGCCAACGGCGACTCCGTTACACTGTGGAGGAAACACAAGGACGTCAGTGCATCGTCACATGGTCACACTCATATTTCCTTCTTACTGTAACATATGTCTTTAACCCGGCAGCCTTCGACCAGCTAATGGAGGTTTTAAACACTGTTTTCTCCTGCACAGTAAGACATGTTTCTGATTTGTCCTGAAGAACTTTTGGTAATTAGCAATTGAGCAGCGAGAGCACTGCCAAAAAAACAACATAGGATATATAAGTCTGTGAAGATTCTCAGTCATCCAGGTCATAGTTATCCAACGAAGGTTAAAGTCAAGAGCAACTGTCCAGTTGGATAGGATATATAAGCTTTTGCTTCAGCCTAAGCCCTTTTCAGTCACTAGGTACCGTTTGAGTTTAAACTGGGATATGTGTACAATTATTGATTTGTGATAATGACTGAATAAACAAACAAACAAACAAACTGTGTGACTTTTTAAAAATCGCAATCTCATCACAAATTTCTGAGTTTTGGGGTTTAGTTGAGTCAATTTATTTCTTTATAAATGTTGAGTTTCAAACAGAACAACCTCTCCTCGGTTTGATAAGTTGTCATGAAACTGGACTTTTTGTCCATCTACTGATAAAGATCATGTGACATTATCACCACAGCACTAGAACAACTACTAAATGAACGTTGAGGTGAGTTATATATTTTTGTCATCTATAAATATTGTTTAAGAACACGATTGTCAACAAATCTTGAGGATTTTTCTTTTCTTGAAACTGGGCTTTAAACCGCTGTTCATTCTCATGCTGCTCTGAGTTTGGACTGAAATCCTGTTTGTGACAAAGAACAAGAAGATCGTCTATAACAGATCATCTACCAGGATAAGAAAATAACCCCAGTAATATTTAAACGAGATATTCTGTAGCTTCACAAAAATGTTTATGGCGTTCGGCAGAGTGAACTGCCCAACCCTCTGGGGCAATGTTTGACTGTTTGTTCTCAGAGTGCTGAACATATTCAGACAAAAAGCCCAAAATGCTTCAGATGTCTGGACACAATATGTTCAGTGAGAGCATGTCTTGGCCAAGTATCAGCTCGTATCTGCCATATGCTGCCATGAACACATGTCAGCCCCGCTGGCGGGGAGGGGAGAGACGATCTGTCGTCTCAGAGGTCCCGAGGGAACAGACCCCAGCAGGATTTCATCAGTCAAAGCATCATCAGCGAGCTGCTATTCCATTATGTTCAGAGTGGAACAGCGGATCAGAAATGACTGGGAACAAACAGGAAGGATGAAAAATGGTATTGAAATTTAATAGCTTCTGTGGTTCGGTTCGGCTTAGTCCAAAAATTAACCTGAAATAAAAACAACACATAATTCTGTGTGTTTAAGTGAGGACAGGGCTAAGAGTTGAGCAAACCTCACAAACAGCGGTGTGATTTTCCTCGTTCTGTTCCTCAATGAGCTCTGCCAGGAAGTACGGCTGGTCTGCTGAGAGCAGTTTGGTCTGCTCTGCAAATATGCGCATGATGTCATCATGATCTTCAACCCTGTAAGGTACAACAAGAGGAGAAGCCTACACCTTAAAGCTATTATATTACAATGAATTCAATTACTCTCTGTAACAGGATGCTTAACCCACTATAATTATCATAAACTTTAAGACTCTTTTAGATGATAGTTTTGGTTTTACAGCATATTTACTGACTCATCTCTCTCATAAACCTCATCAGCAGGTCGCTGTTTTCAGCAAAGAAGCTGATCTAAATGGCAGATAGTCAAATTTAGCTAGAAAGTGAAACATCTACCAGTTAAAGGGACACATATTTTTATCAGGAGTTGGGGGAGACCAAACCAAAGCTAGAAGGAGAGTGAAAATTAAACATACATTCACCAGGCGGACACAAACAGAATGACAATGTTACTCCATGTCTTCTGGATGTGTAGATTTGCCTGAAGGACTTTATAAGTTGATAATATGTCAAGGCTTTGGGTTTGTAACCTTGTTGGGGAGTTCTCCTGCAATAGATCAACTTCATATGTGATGAAGATCCACATCTGTTGAACTCTACTAACGTTCCATTGCTTGTTAACACAAATAGCTAATCAGCCAATGGCAAAAACTCAATGCATTTAAGCAAAAACGTTTCCTGGTCTGAGTCTCGATTTCAGTTGTGACATTCAGCCACTAGCAAGGTGCACCTACTAAAGTGGCAGGTGAGTGTATCTTCACATGCATGTAGGCAGCGTTTACGTTAGCGTGGGGGAACTATCTGGAATCACCTGGCTGGGCGGATATGAAGCTTTGGACAGTGCTCTTGTCTGTGGCAGATTAATGCTAAGCACTGAGACTCCGGGTCAGTCAGGCGCTGCAGCGGCTCAAACATCTCATCCAGCGCCGGCTCTGGACAAACAGCAATCACAGATTCTTCAAAGTAAGCTTTTGAATAACCGATAAACGTAACAATGAATTTTAAGCAGTTCTTCACCTAAAGCACCAACATGTGGGCTGACCAGGCAGACATATTGGAGCTCTGTGACGGCATTAAAGACAGCCCTGTAAAACAAGCATAAGAGACCATTAACCTCTATGAATATATAAGCTCTGTGGGCTTCTAAGCAAAGCACCTTTGAGTAACTACTGTTTTTAATATGCATAACATTTGGGAATTGAACCCTGACAGAAAATCTGAAATTCGAAAAGTAACTATTCCAGATAAGAATATTGCTAACTGCACCAGTTTCACTCATCTTAAATAAATAAAATAAATGTATACCTCATTATTTCCTTTACACTTGCTGTGGCGAAATCTGGCTGTGCCACGAAAAGGTGAAGGAAGAGTGTGTTCAAAGGCTGCAGGGGGGAAGAAAATGTAGCCAGTTTTCTCCAGTGCAGGTGTCAGTTCACTTTCATTTCATTTAATCTAACAAGCAGCTATACTTCAAACTTCATATGGTGAAAAGTCTTACAGTATTTAACATGATTAGTTCGGCTGGGCCAAAGATCCATGTGATTTTGCATAATTAAAAACTATTAGTTCTCGTTAACCGTCTATCTGAAAAGCATCTCTTTGCAGTTTCAGTCTGAATTCATGAATTATACTGACTGTGATTTTTTTAGCCCTGAAGTGTTTCTGCAGGAAAGGTTCCCAGTGAGTCTGATCCACCAAGTCTCCAACAGGGTGATCGAAGAAGGAAGCGTGGGCCAGAATATCGTCCTTCTCATTGGCTAGAGTCACGGCCAGATTGGCTTTTTCTCTGGAAGTATCCAGGAGGGCAGAGAGGAAACAAGAACCAGAGAATCGCGTTAGTATGTACAGCACTCGGTGACTGCTGGAAGAACACGATAAATATGTCATCATTTCTCGCAAGGCAAGATTTCATAGTGGGGAAAAAAACTTTAAAAAGTACATACAAACACCTCAAACTACTCTTTGAATAAATAATCTTTCTGGTCATGTGCTCATATGTAAACATCATCCTTTTGCCAAAAAATGGTTAAACACACTACTTTCAAGAGATGGGGCTTGGAGGTGCAGGAATGGTTTTAAAATGTATGTAAATTTGAGTTACTATTAACTAATCAGTTATTGTATGTTTTCTTGGGCTATTGTCATTCTCACTATTGACATTTTATCGATAAAATGATTAAATGACAGTCTGCATAACTGACCTGACCTCCATACAGAAAGCTTATTTATTAAAGTCTCAACTGTATAATTAAGACACTGAAAAATAAATAATTATGCCTTACAGAAGATGAATTACATTGACCCTTCCAAAAACCGCCAGAGATGACGGGCTGATGAGGCTGTCAATCCCCTGAGCATCCGCCGATTCACTTCTTCTGATGGTCACTGTTACCTCCTGGCCACTGGCTGAAGTTATTGTCCTCATCTTCACTTGGACTGCTTTTGATAAGATAAGATATAACTGTATTAATCCGCTGTAGGGGAAATTTCAGTGATAGAAAGGGACAGTATAATTTCAGCCACAACAATACCAACAACAACAACAAAACAGCTTAGTCACAACATAAAAAAAGAAAAGACAATGATGTTAGCTCATGATTCAGCTGTTAAGGGGAAACTTTAGGGAAACTTCTAACTTCACATTGCTGAGCAACTGATCCTCCGTTTTTTGCCGCTCCCACTGTTTTGAAAGCTGTTAGGGATTTTAGGTTAAAGCCTTAACACTGTCTTAAACACACTTTTAGAATAACAAAAATCTTCAAAACATACTTTCAGATTTCTGAAACATTTAATATACTTGTGAAAATGCTATAAATGGTGATTTAGCTGTTTTTTTAACATGTAGACCACATCAGACCAGGTCCAGATCAAAAACCACAACACCCAGAGTTGTCAAATCTGGACTAGAATGTCCCAGAGAGGCTAAAGTTTCTTCAGAACATACTTTCAGATTTCTGAAATACTTAATATACTTGTGAAAATGCTATAAACTGCGATTTAGCTGTTTTTTAACATGTAGACCACATCAGACCAGGTCCAGATCAAAAACCACAACACCCAGAGCTGTCAAATCTGGACTAGAATGTCCCAGAGAGGCTAAAGTTTCTTCAAAACATACTTTCAGATTTCTGAAATACAATTTAAAATGCTATAAATCTTGTGAACATGTAGACCACATCAGACTCCAGAACAAAAACCACAACACCCAGAGCTGTCAAATCTGGACTAGAATGATTTAGCTGTTTTTTTCACATGTAGATAAGATAACGTTAATCTAGTCCAGATTTGACAGCTCTATCTGTGACTTAGCGGTTTTCGATCTGGACCTGGTCTAACGTGGTCTGCAGTCCAGGACAACTGTTACTCACCTGTCACAGATTTCCACCCCTAATAAACCACAACGTTAAGTCTTGTACGTCTTTGTTTATTTAAATATTATTTAAATTAAAAACTAAATTAGACTTTGCTCTAACGTGAAAACCGCACGTTCACGTTCCGTCTCGGTCCAGCTAACGGACGCAAACTCTGTAACCATAGTAACAGAACGCTGCAGCAGGGGTTGACGGGAACTCGCGAGGCATTGTGGGTACTGCCATGGCGGCTCGCGGTGGATGCTAAACAAACGTTTCGTTCCCTGTTAACAGTTTTGTTGTTGTCGAAACACTCGAAGCAAGTTTGGTAACTTTTTTTTTTTTGGGATATACCTGCCAGCGAAATGGCTTCCACCGCGGCAGGCAAGCAGCGGATACCGAAGGTGGCGAAGGTAAGAAGGCGAAACTCAATTTAGAGGAGCCATGAGCTGAGTTCGGCTAAGCTAATGCTAATGCTAATGCTAACAGCGCTAAAGTTTAACGGAGCGAACTTCTCGAGCTGGCAGCGCAGAGACCTCATGCTGGAAGTTCATATCTTACTTATACCTAAATGTAATCTCACATAAGATTTTAAGAGTGGTTAACGTGAGCCTGACGGAAACCCTACGGGCTCGAATAACAGTTACTGACTTCCCTGTCTAAGCTAACCAGCGGTGGAAGAAGTATTTAGGTCTTTTCTTTAAGTAAAAGTAGTAAAATAACACTGAGGAAGTACAGTCCTACATTTACAACCTTAACTTAAGTAAAAGTATGCAAGTATTATCAGCTGCAAAATGTAATTTAAAGTACCAAAAGTAAAAGAACTCGTACGTTAAATGATCCCTGTCAGTGTTTTACTATTATGATGCTTTTGGATTAATGATATATAGATACATACATACATACATACAGGGGTCGATGGGTAACGTTAGGTAGTTAGGAAGGATAACGTATATTCATCTCTGATTACACTGTCAGAGTTTACATTGGTTTACATAACTAAAATAAACAGAATTAAGTTACAGAACATACACAGAAAAGTTAACTGAGGGTTGAATTAAATTATCCCTGTTTTGTGTCTACGAGTGAAATACTGGTAGGCTTCTGACTTAGTCTTATGCAAATATATTTACAGTATTTAAAAACATTTCAAAGACGTTAAGCTGAGTTGGTTGCATATTGCATGGTGTAGTAATTTAGGAGGAGCAGGAGTAATTCTTGTTCATCCAACATGTATGTATACTGTATCTTATATTACCTGGCAGTGGTGAAACAAACCGTGTGACGTTAAACAAAGATAACATTTTAAATTGAACACTACATTGCAAACAAAGTGCATCGTTTTTCCTCTAAAGCTCCATTAAATCTGCCAAAAAAAATATATGTTTTACTAAAAAGTGTAGCCCTCAGATCATCATAACCAACCTGTTTCTATGGGTAATGGTGTTGTACCAGAAAGTAGCATAAGATTCTACACTATAGTTGTACGTATAGTATGTAGTAGTTTCTTATATTCTTTAAGTTTGTCATCCACTACTCCATCTACATCAGGGACGATGAGGATTAAGAACATCTACATCTAATGGCATCTACAGAAACATATACACAGTCATATTAAATACATCTTCCCTCCTTCCATCTTTTTATAATACTGCTTTTTATAGCGCACAAGGCATCATGACATTATGCTCACGACTGGAGCAACTACATGTTAAAGGACTTCTTCTTAAATCTCAGGTGAAGAATAAAGCTCCAGCCGAGGTTCAGATCACTGCTGAGCAGCTGCTGAGAGAAGCCAAAGAGAGGGAGCTCGAACTTCTGCCACCACCCCCGAAACAGAAGATTACAGATGAGGAGGAGCTCAATGATTACAAACTCAAGAAGAGGAAGGTAAGTGCTTAACTTTCATTTTCTTCTCTGACGGCATGTTTTGATTAAATGTGCAGTATTTCAATTCACAGAAATATGAAATATGACCGACGGACTTCGAAGAAAGAGTTTTCTACACACATTTTAGCATCATTACTTGTTCAATACAACATATAATTAATAATTTTGTGTGAGATTATGTGATTACACTTTCAGTCTGAGACTCATGTTTGCTCAAATACACATGTTATGGCTTTAACGGAACATGAGTAAACCACCTTCAGAAAGACTATCAGACAACCTTGTTGTTTTCTGACTTGACTTTGAGCTGTTGTCTGCCTTCTCTTACAGGGATTTGAGGACAACATCAGAAAGAATCGCACTGTCATCAGTAACTGGATAAAATACGCACAATGGGAGGAAAGCCTGAAGGAGATCCAGAGGTATTGTCCACGCTGTTTTTTCCAATTGAAATAGCTATGTTCTAGTGACAAACCTGCCTCTATAATCATTAGTGCCACTGCTTCATTTTAATATTACAGGTAAATTTAGCCAGTTTTACATAGAGCTTCTCCTTGAACAGACTAGAAACAGTCCCACAAATGTCTCCACTGTATAGTTTTCCCTCATCTCTGCTTCCTTTGGATTCAGGGCTCGTTCCATTTACGAGCGAGCGCTGGACGTGGATCACCGCAACATCACTCTGTGGCTGAAGTATGCCGAGATGGAGATGAAGAGCCGCCAGGTGAACCACGCCCGCAACATCTGGGACAGAGCCATCACCATCCTCCCACGAGTCAACCAGTTCTGGTACGAATTACATTAATATACTGCAACATTTGCCTTGGCTTCTAATGGCAGGCTTATGTGGGGAATGTTTCTCATTAATAATATTTAAACAACAAAAAACCCCAGAAACGGTGTTAATATTATTTAGAAGTTGAGTTTAGTTGAGTCGGTGTGTAAAGCCAGATATTTCTTATTTGGCCACCCAATCAGAACCAAGTGAGATTATTTATTAAAGCTTCTTATGCATAAACAAAAGTGTACACAAATAAAAAGACGAACATCACAGATGAATGTAGTTGCATCTAACAGTTTGTGTTTCATTTCACATGTACAGACAGAAAGAATTGACTCCTAAATTGATTTTTTTTACATAGCTATCCAAATATCTCCCTTTGCTTTATTAACGTTTCACTTTTTGTCCTTTTAAAAGGTACAAGTATACCTACATGGAGGAGATGCTGGGGAACATCGCTGGCTGCAGGCAGGTGTTTGAGCGTTGGATGGAGTGGGAGCCCGAGGAACAGGCCTGGCACTCCTACATCAACTTTGAGCTGCGCTACAAGGAAGTGGACAAAGCCCGCACCATTTACGAGCGATATATCCTTTTGTTGGTGTTTACGAGTGTGGTTTTCTGAGAAGAGGTGGCGTTAGACCAAATTCAAACTCAGCAGCAACAAGAACAGTACAGGGAAAGTGAGTGTTCAAATAATGGACACAAAAACTTTAAAATAAGCAAACTTAATACATAAGGATTGGCGTTATGGTCCTCTATTACAGAATGGTGAACATTAAGCCACGTCACCCAGCCAGGAACATAAACAGAAATAAAGTTGAAGTTTATCGTCATTACGGTGTCACTAATTATCCTTTAATCTAACATTTATTTTCTCAGTTATTTGGTTCATTGCTTAGTCCTAAATTAGTAAAAATGTTCCCTTTGACTTTGAATCTTGAAACCTCGGGATGATATTTGTTTGTGGTGTGAAACTCCTCAACTCCGCTGTACTCGTCATGGTTCACCCCGAAGTGAAGAACTGGATCAAGTACGCTCGTTTTGAAGAGAGGCACGGCTACATCGCTCACAGCAGGAAGGTGTACGAGAGGGCGGTGGAGTTCTTCGGAGAGGAGCATGTGGACGAGAACCTCTTTGTGGCCTTCGCCAAGTTTGAGGAGACACAGAAAGAGGTTTGTGCCGCACAGTATAGAAAAAAAACAACCTCTTAACAGACTGCATGCATTCAAATTAGAGCCTTAGTCCTTTAGTTTCTTGTTATGCTGGAGAGTTAGTGAAAATGTGGAGATCCTTGTCATTAGATTGTGGAACTAGCTTAAGAATTGAGTTTTGGTTGTGGCCGTGATTGTACGAAATTGCCTTCCTTTACAGTTTGAACGTGTCCGGGTGATCTATAAGTACGCTTTGGACAGAATCCCTAAACAACAGGCGCAGGAGCTCTTCAAGTACTACACGATGTTTGAGAAGAAGTTTGGAGACCGGAGGGGAATCGAGGACGTCATCGTCAGCAAACGGAGGTTCCAGTATGAGGAGGAAGTCAAGGTATTTATCGTGGATACTACCTTCCCTATACAAACTTTATCCACTAATTTTATCTATCATGTGTTGTTTTGAATATTTATAAACTATTTTGAGAGGCAAAGATATATATATATATATAAGTTTCATGCTCAGGCCCAAACAAATCATGAGCCATAAAGGCGAGAGTACAATCTTAAAATCTTTGCAATCGGCCTATTCTCACCTACTTCTATTCAAAAACTCCCAAATTTGCTTCCCACTCATTTCTGTGTGAAACAGGCCGATGTATATTCACCTCCAGTTGTGATTGAACTCACGCCAAATCCCATCACTCAACACAATATCCAGCCAGTTTGAGAGAGGGGGTGCGACTGACCGTATCCAGGAAATACTGTTTGTTATATTGTTGTTGTTTGTTGTTTGGAGCTGTTTGGCTACAGTGAGTGTAAGGTGGACTGCTGTTGTTAATCTCACCAGGCAGGTTTTGGTCTGATCGCACCATTACACTGGTGCTCGCCATTCATGAAGAATATCTGATGTTTCGAACATGTAAGATCAAGAAAACCTGAGCTGCTTTTTCAAATGCATTCGGGCCAAAATGCGAGAGAGACATTTCCATAAAAGTCATTCTTGTCCTGTTTTTGAATGAGTCTGCGAATCAAAATGTTGAGACTGTCCAGAATTGAGAAGGAAAGCATGTTTGCTGGCTGTGTAGTTAGTCTAGCAGCTGTCATTTACAGGAAGGTACTTCTCTGTTGAAGCCCAGTCTGTGTGACCAGCGGCTGAGAAACGCCACTTCCTGTCATCATCGCTGATGTTTTTTCGATTTCTGTCAGGCAAACCCACACAACTACGACGCGTGGTTTGATTACCTCCGCCTGGTGGAGAACGACGCCGACCCCGACACAGTGAGAGAGGTTTATGAGAGAGCCATCGCCAACATGCCCCCCATCCAGGAGAA